TTAGCCGAAATGTCCCAGAGGGCTTATGTACCACAAACACTTGTGAGTAACAACCCCTGCCCCGATCTTTCCCTGGGACTGGAATAATTACATTCTGATCTACCAGATCTCCCAACAACCCACACAAAGCCTTGGCTTTTACCAGATCGTTGGGTAGTTCTGTTAGAAAAAATTGAGAAGGGGAGTCGAATTCCAGCTGATAGTCGTGTTTTCAATAATATTCAGAATGAAGCTGTTGGTGGTAATACTTTTCCATTGAGGGAGGAAGTTTCTCAGTCTTCCACCCACTGGGAAAAGGCCGTCATTGCTGTTTGGGTTTCTGAGAAGGGGGGTTAAACAATATGCCCCCTCTCCCTTTCCCTTTTTGCCCAAACCAAGGTTTTTTAGGCCTCTCCTCACTGGTTTCCTGAGGTTAGTGCTTTTGGCTACGAAAAAACTTCTTATTGAATACCTTTTTCTTCTTCTCAGGGAAGGCCTTTTTCTCATCTGCGGTACGCTCTAAGGCCGCCTCCATGACAGGACCAAAAAGAAGATCTCCTGCAAAAGGCAAATTACACAATTTCAGCCTTGAGGCAGAGTCACCTTCCCAGGCTTTTAACCAGAGCACTCTGCGAGAGGAATTAATCAAGGCCGAGCCGCGTGCAGACATTCGAACCGCCTCTGCTGAGGCATCTGCGATATATCTAACTGCCTTAAACAACATAGGGAAGGACTCCAGGATTTGCTCCCTTGGAGTACCTGCCATAAGGTGAGACTTGCACTGTGAAAGCCAAAACTCCAGGTTCCTGGCTACACATGTGGTAGCTAAGGCTGGTTTCAGATTAGCCAGCGTCGTATCCCAAGCTCTTTTAAGGATCACCTCCATCTTTCTATCCATGGGGTCTTTTAGATTTCCCGTATCTTTGAAGGCTAAGTCTGCCTTTTTGGACACTTTTGAAAGAGGTGCATCCAGCTTTGGATTTTTGTTCCAGACCATAGCTGGATCCTCATCAAAAGGGAATCGCCTTTTCAGAGTACTAGAAAAAAATGGTTTCCTTTCTGGCTCAGACCATTCTTTAAGTACAGAATCAGACAACACTTTGTGCACAGGGAAGATTCTCCTCTTTTTCATCTGTAAACCTTGTACATGTCATATCATGTCTTGACAATTCTATTTTATCTTCTTGTATATCTAAGGTCTCATAAATACCCTTGAGCAGATCTTCCACATCCTCAAGTGACAGTTTATATCTAGATGACGTGGGTTCATCCTGGAAATATGGCAACGATCTCCTCCCTCCGGAGGAAACACTATAACTGAAGAGGGATAGGATGAGGGGGATTTTTAACTTGATATGGTGACGTGTTTCCTACTGAAGGGAGGAGTTACACTCTCTCATGGGCTGGACTGGAAGACAACTGGAAAAACACTTACCCCATAGTTCTCCTTTAAAGCACCACAGGTCAATGCAATGCAAATATATAAATGGGCCCAGCAGGGAAAAGTAACAGGTACACTTAAAGCATCCAAAAGTAACAAGATTAAAATGAAAAGGCCATTAAGGGACACAAAAAAAACAGCTTTTGTTGCAATATTCCCCTTTAATCCAGAGGTTCCTCCGCGGTTCTATTTTCTGCTGTTTATTTTGCTTCTGTTTGGATTTAGGAATACTCTCAGAATAACACGCCACATTTGGCAACATCCAGAACTTCAGTTTTCTAAATCCTAAGTCAACACGGAACGTTTCCTTTTCCTTTAACATTTGCATGTCATGTCCTTATTACGTCAAACACCGCTCTATCACCGAAGTCTTACTCATAACATATTCTCTGTTTCAGGGAAATGTTTACAATGCTACGTGCCCGTTCAGACCAGTTGCAGTGCGTTCCGTCCCAATTCTGTGCCTGCGGTCCGGTGCGATCAAAATGCTGCGAGCACTATTTTGATTGCACCGGACCGCAGACACAATGCGCCTTGCGATCCTGTGCGGGCGATTGCATTGCGGCCGGGGTGTGTGGCTACAGTGCCATTCACTTCAATGGCCCGCCACGCCTCCTCCTACCCAACTAAAAAGTGAGCCGGCCGCAATGCGAGGCAGTGCGTTCCAGCCAGAATCGTTCCGCAACGCACTGCAACTGGTGTGAACGGGCCCTTAAAGCAGAACTGCAGAGAAAAATAACAAGATAAACAATGAATAGCCCCTTTGAAAGATAAAATAACAAAATGAGCCTTTGTTGCAATATTCACCTGCAGTCCCGAGGTTTTCCCGGCAGTACTCTTTTCCTGCCACTAGATGTCCCCAGTCTGATAGCCAGTATCATTCAACTCACTTCTTCTGTGACTGGACAATGAAAGGAGAAGCAGCTCAGTGATGAGCTCATCTCTGTGTCGCTCTGCTCCCTCCACCCATCAGCATGCTTCTTGTCCTCACATGATCTGATTAGTTCCTTGTGCCGCTTCTTCTTCTCACACTCCAGCTCTGCCTTGCAGCAACTGCAAAAGGCTGATACCAGGTCAAAATCAGATATTTACACTACTTGTATTTATAAAAAAAAACAACATTTAATTATGTAATTATTACAGAGCTACATTAATTTGTGTTTTTATATTTGCCGGGAGTTTGCTTTTATCTGTATCCCTCCCTTTAGGCACACTATCACCTTTCTACCCCTCCGTGGTTTTGTACATGCTTTGTAATGGGGAGGACTAAGAAAATTAAAATAAAAAATATATATTGTTTTAGCCAGGTAAATATTAAAGAGGCCCTGTCGTCAGTTTATAACCCCATAAGATTATGGGGGTTATTCACAACGCTAGCCGAAGGTTCAGCCGTAGCTTCGGCTGATCCTTCCGGCTAGCTTTGGCTGCCGAAGCCCTTCGGTTCAGTAGAACCGAAGGGCTGCTGTACGGGCTATTCACTATAGCTCCCGAAGTTGGCCGAGCGGCACAGCCGAGCCGAAGGCATATGCTTTGGCTAGACTGAGCCGAAGTGAAACCCGAAGCGGGGCAAGCGGAAGGCCATTGGCCGGCCGAAAGCGTCGCAAATGACAGCTGGGTGGAGCCAGCCGTGATCTCACAGCTGGCTCCGCCCAGTTGCAATGACAGATCAGCGTCCCCAGGTTACCTGGGCAAGCTGAACTGTCATTAAACAACAATGACAACTGGGCGGTACCGGCCGGAAGACTAGCACAGAGGTTCTCAACCGGTGTAACTTCAGGACCCACATTTGTCCTTGGTCATTTGGTTGCAACCTAAGTTGCACTGCAATGGAACGCACGGCATTGTGGTACTGCGCGTTCCGATGTGGGCATTAGAACTGTGGGTGGAGGATGTATTTGGGGTGCCATTCAAATGAATGGCAATGCACCTCCCACACCAGAATGCGGCAATTGCATGGTACAGTGCGTTAATTGCACGGGATTGTGCGTATAATGCACTGTACTAGTGTGAATGGGCCCTCAAAAACACTGAGAGACACACACAACCACAGACACAATCTCACACACACACTCCAAAAAAAAAAATGTAATTTATTTTAAAATCCACCCAGTCTGCCTATCTCACCAGAACTGGAGTGGATGCTCAGCCTGGGGTCCAGAGTGGGCTGCTGTGCTGTGATGGAGTGCCATCTTTATGTGTATTGCCTGTACATCTCCCTTGCATGCCCTGTAGAGGTGCTGGGAGCCAGAATGTGACATCACTCCGGTCCAGGCACCTCTATAGGACACATGAGGGAGCTATAAGCAATGCACGTGAGGATGGAGCTCCCTCGCGGCCATACCCCCAAACCACCCCACCAAAATCTGACACTCGGCACCGGGCAGCATATTTTGAACAGCTGCTCGGTGTGAGAACTGACAGTGCTGTGCTAGGGGGAGGCTGAGGAGCCTCTCCCCTAGAAAAGTGGATGGCATGCAGCGACCCACTGAACATGGGGTCGCGATCCACTTTTGGGTCACGGCCCACAAGTTGAGAACCCAGGCTCTAGCAGGTCCCTGCCAATAGGAAACAGTTGTGGGGAGGTAGCTGTCACTGCTAGCTCCGCCCAATAGTTTGTGAATAGTTTGTGAAGTGAATAGCTGAAGAGCGTTTGGCTCACTTCACTTCGGGTGGGTTTTATAACTCGGCTGCCTTCGGAAGCTTTGTGAATAACCCCCTATATGTGCACTTACTGTATTTTTTATTATTTATTGTGTTTTGTACCTGTAAAAGCCTCCCTTGTGTAGACATTTAAAAGCTCTGAGACTGCTGCTGAGCACCGCCATCTTGGATGTGATGTCAGCTCCCATTTACACTGTGGTAATGCGTATAACATGCATTACTGCATTGAGGTGCCATTATTTTCCACTAAGGCAAAGTGCCTGCATTGGAGTGCGTTGCATTAGCAACAAGGGGTCAGGTACATACTTTGCTTGCATTAGCAGCCTCTACATTCCAATCGGCTGCCTTAGCATAATGTGACGTGATGCGTGTTAACGCACAGCTAGGAAGAAAATGGGTCTTGACCTGTGCAACAAAGTTAATTAGCACAATAACCTAAATACTGAAGAAATGCAAAGATCACATAAAAAAAATAAATTATGGTAAATCTGGAATAAAACAAACTATTATCTAAAAATACATTGTACTTCCCCTTTAAATAGCCCACAAGATCTCAGTGGCTCTTTATACTTGCATTTAAACTTACTGAGCATGCGCAATGAAGTCTTACTGCTGATTGCCTGCCGCCATCTTTACTGTGGGACAATTTCCATAAACTGAGTAGTGACAAGCCTGGAGCCCAGCTCTCATCTGGGATATAGGTGAACTGAGGCTGTAAAATCCAGGTCAATGCAAAGCTGCGTACTGCAGAAAGTTGTCAAAATGGTAGCTAAATTAACCTGCACACAAAAAAAAAAAAAGAATTCGGCGGAACCTCTGAGCGCATGACATTAGGCATGAGGTTTGAGTCTCTGCGGCTCCCGTAGATCACTGAGAGAGCTTCGTCACCATGGTAACGCTACGAAGCTTGTGTTGACAACCAGTCGAATTCCCGGGGGAAAGCCGAGAGCCTTCAAGTACCATGCTGGCGGCTCAGGAGGTGGCAGCAGCCCTTCTGCTGGGCACTACCCGGTCGGACAATGTCAAGAAGAGCACTGGGCGACCTGTGGTGAAGCTGGTGTTGACTGACACCGAGCTGGGGGAGCAGGAGGTAATACTGACTACCGTATATACTGGATGTGAGGGGCAGGCACTGATTTAACTGAGCTGGAACTTTTAACTGAGCTGGAACTACAAGTCCCAGCAGGATAATACAAGTGTGTGACTGGGTTGTGTGCTTCCATCACAGGAGGAGAGTCACAGACAGTGTTGGATTTTTGTATATATTTATATATGTGTGTGTGTGTGTTTGTATGTCTATGTATCTATCTATATATAGATATAGATATAACAAAGGCCGGCGTCCCAAAACTTTTGGCAATATAGTTTTATATTTATTATTTTCTACATATTTTTAATGACGAAACCAAACCCATAAAATATGAAAATAAGTTTCAAATATATGCCTCTTCCAAATGATGTATTTTTGGGGGTGTTTTGGGGTCTGCATGAGGCACAGAGCCTGAAATTAAAAATGACAGCCCTGCCTTACGTTGTCGTTACCACATCCGTATACCGTGACTGTCCATAGAATATCCAATATACAGTAGAATGATAGCCCCAAATAATGTAAGAGCTGTAAACAGGGGCGTATGCTGACACACAGGGGGGGATTTATCAACACTGGAGCAGACAGAATCTGGAGCAGTTACCCATAGTAACCAATCAGCTTCTCTCTTTCATTTTCAAATCTTAACTGAACAGACTGAGAAGAAGAGAGAAGCTGATTGGTTACTATGGGTACCTGCTCCAGATTCTGTCTGCTCGTTTTGATAAATTCCCCCCAAAGTCTAGTAATGTCAATTGATAAATGTGGAATACTGTAGAGAAAATACAGACAGGGATGCTTTCATCATTTTGTAAAAGAACAGTAGGGATCATATCTCTCAGAGGCATGAAGCAAGACTTGTGTCATAACGTCCAGCCAACAGAGTGGTATGAACCGGACCTAAAAGTGAACTTTTGACTTGCCTTGGTGTCACCCCTCCAATACTTAAACTCATCTTCCATTGGCACTGTTTCCATTAGCACGGGAGTCAAGAGAAGAACCCCGGGGACGCTCCAAGTCAGTCTAGCTGAAGATTACACTACACAGGGCTAAGGAATACTTGTGCCTGGCAGGTTGACACTTAGGCCTCATTCACATAGAGGGGCACAGCCGTAGGGCATGCACGTCCATGCAGAAACCTGTACCCGGGAGGGACAGGACCTGCATGGAGCTACATGATGCCGTAAGTTAGGGTTGCACAGATACCAAGTACAGTACTCGGTATAAGTACGAGTACATGTCCCGATACTTTTGAGCTCCAAGACTACACTAGAGAAAAGTTAGGAGGCAGCTGTCATGTGTAAGGAGCACACGGAGCTCCTGGGATTTGTACATCTCTGTTTGAATGTACGATGTTGTTTTTATAAATATAAATAAAGGGATGCACAGATACCAGTTTTGCGAGTACGAGTACTGGTACTTGCCGAGTACTTGCAGATACAAGTACTGATACATTTTTGTTTATTGTCATGTGACAGTTTTTCTAAAACAATACAGACTAATGATTTCAGGACCGTGGTGGAGCGCCAGAGCCAGGTCCCAGCTGCAACCGCTGCAACCCTGGTAGTTCTCATGAAAATGCCAAGTATCTGCACTGGTACTCGAAAAGTATCTGTGCATCCCTACCGTAAGTAGATCTCTACACGGCTACACGCAGATCTGAGCTTGCACATCCATACCGGTATGGACGCATGTCCTTGGATGCAGACTGCCTGACAGACTGATGTTTAGCCGTGTGCACCCGCATCCTGTTAAAGAGATGTACAGGAAGCTGCACGCGGCTACACACCTGTCCCTCCTGGGTGTAGGTTTCTGCACAGACATGCATGCTGTACGGCTGTGCATGCCCTTATGAATGAGGCCTTAGAGACGCAGCGCTGCATCATCAAAGGCCACCTAGTTATCAAAAAAATCTGTGGGTACAAAATTGAGATAATATACTTACTTTACCCTCAGCTTCTGTCTGTGGTGCCTAGGTGAGGGTGACACCACCATCCTTCCAACGAGATCACAGAGAATGTCGAGTGGTCCAAATCTTGTGAGAAGACGACGCTGCACTGTGCTGGAGCGTCTTCTGGTGATATTTGGAACACTCAGCATCCCCCGGGATCTCAGCGTGATGATGTGGATATTACTCTTTTTGCAGTACAGAAGCCGGTCAGGTAAATATATTGATTAAGTTTTTAACCCACAGGTTTTTTTCTATTTTAGTGCAGCATTTTGGCATCCTCAGTAAATAAGTGGACCTTGCTTATAGAGCTTTAAAGGAGAATTATGAGGCGAGTGATTTTCACTCAGCCTCATAATCTGTGCCGACCTGCGACAATGAGACTGTCACTGGTCGGCTCAGTAGATCGGGAAGTGAGCGAACACATACCGGCGCTCGCTCACTTCTCGATCTATCCGTGCAGAGAGCCGTGACTGTACCTCACGGCTCCCTGCAGGGATCCCCCCCCTCCCCTGTCCGATCCTCCAGCGCTGACTGGCGGGACGGGGGAGGGGGCGGGTACAGCTGGATCTGTATAACCATATCTGTATAACGTCTGAATAAAAGAGGCGTTCAACACATTGGACCTTGGAGTGCTGGTGACTTATTGTGGACATTTCTGTGATAACGTGGCGCCATCCGCAGGTCATACCAGCACCCATCTTTCTTAGGGGATTCCGGTCAGGAGTGCTGTGGATTACACATTACTGATCGCTGTGGGTGGGAGGCGCGTTTGGGGTGCCATTAAAATGAATAGCACAGCAATTCACCTTCCGCAGCAGAATTTGTCAGGCCGAAACCGTAAATTACTTTCTCCCACCTTTTATAATTGTATTGTAAGCACATGGCGCTTGAATGGCCTCGGCCCGGAAATGACAGCTGCCAGTGGCAAAATTCCACAGATGGCAGCTGAATGTAAATACAGCAGGTAGTGGGCTGGTGCAATAGCCAGCCTGCTATTGGCCATTTCAAATTACAATAGCATATAGCAGGCTGGCTATTGCATCCGCCCACTGCTTGCTGTGCCCTCCTCCCAGGGCGGAGGAGAGAGCTAGGGGATCCAACTAATCATTATTGAGAATTGTTGACAACTATTCTCATAATCGATTATTATTGATTAATCGATTAGTTGGTTGCAGCCCTACTTGTGTACCAGTCAACTCAGGACAGCTTTACACATCTCATAGCTCTGCCCTGCATTCCACTCTGACTGCTGGAATCATTTTATGGACAATATAGATGCTTTTACCTTCTTCAGGAATTTTTTTTTTTTCAGCCCAATTTTCTCTTCTGAGGCACAACAAAGGTGTAGTGGTCTTTGATCTCCTGCAAATGCATCATCCAGGATAAACCTTAATGGCGGCTGCCTTTCATCATCACTTAGAGTTTATTTAACCTGCAGATTTAATGGGCTGGTCCGAAGAAATACTAATTCTTGATCTGCAGTGTCGGAGTCTTTATAGAAGTTTCCTTTTTATAGGCTTCTCATAAACGCTTAATGCAATATCTAAGCGCTCCCGAAAAAACGTTAAACGCCACAATCCCGCCTGGAACAAAGAAGATTATTGGTCTGTTAGATCTGTTTCATCTGGATTATAAATACAAAAATATGAATAATTAGTGAGTAATAATGGCATTTTCGGGGCCTTTTTTGTGCCTTTACATACAAGGGAACAAACACAAGTGGCTGATTTATAAAGCAAATGGCGTTCACATGGCACTACCGCCACTAGATGGCTCAGAATAGGACATTTCTATGCCCTTTCCTGTATTGAATTGTATTGTAACGCTACTGTCTCCTTTTATTATGTAAAGCGCTGTGCAAACTGTCGGCGGCCTATAAATCCTGTCTAAAGGTGCCCATACACTGCTCGATTCTCGTACAAGAATCGCGGGAAAAGAACCGAGCAGTGTGAACGAAGACGTGCAACCGTTTCTACTGCACGGTCGCACGTCTTTTGTCTAAGGAGCATGCTAGAAAACCAGCCGAAAATCGTACGATTTTCGGCTGGTTTGAACGGTGCTCGGGAGACAAATGCCGAACGGGCCGGTGTGCGTACGCGCACACTGCCCGTTCAGCATTGCAGTCATCGGAAGCCCGCCCCTCAGGGGGGCGGGCTTGCGATGATCGAGAGTACGACCTGCCTGTCCAATATGGGCAGATCGTACGTTTTTTAAATTACTTTACGACCATCGCAAGACTAAGGTCTTGCGATGGTTGTAAAGTGTATGGCCACCTTAAGGGTGGGGTGCTTTTTATTGGGGAGGGCTAAGCAGCTGGGTAAGTGTACGGTATCTGAAAGAACATGTATCCTGTTAATCCTATGTAGATGCATTTTATAGTTCTGCAGAAAGAACTCAATTGTACATTTTGGTTGGTTTTTAGTTGCCTGTTTAAGGCTAGGTTCACACCTGCACTACACCGCACGACACCCGCGTCGTGCGGTCCTGCACAATGCAGGCAGCGATTGCCGCATGGCCCGATTGATTTCAATGGGGTGACATCCGCGCGGCAATCGCAGAAAAAAAAGGTACAGGTACCTTCTTTTCGCGATGTACGACTGTCTTAGCTACGATCGTGTTCGGAAGCACGGGCGGAATCGTGTTGGGAAACTTAGAAAATAATGGCACCCACAGTGTGATCGGTTCACACCTTAACGACTCCTGACCGCGCAGCAATCTGAGAGGTGTCGCCTAGGTGGGAGCCTGGCCTTATTGTTAAAGTGATAAAGTCAAAAGATTTTAAAGCTATTTCAAATGCTTATGCGGACCGGCCACTGTATTAAAACGGCCAGTCCACTGGCGTATTGTTCCACGAAGGTGTACCTGTAGTCTTGTAAACGCATGTGTGCGTGCGACTGCTGCTCCTGTTGTCATTAGATAGCCACTTTACCAGTGTCCTGTGGCTGGTTGGACCGGCTCTGTGTCTTGCGATTGCTGTGATTGTTTAAAACAGCGATCATGTGGCATTGTTTACATTGCCAAGCCCTCCCCTTCCTCTCACATCAGAGAATAAAGTGAGTAATGAACGGTTGAGTCATCCATTCATTACTTACTAGTGAAAAGAAGCTGCAGTAGCAGGAAAAAAAACAATTGACAGGGTTATTCTTCACAAAAGGGTGGAGAGTTTGGAGAAGGCCGGAGAAGGGAACAATCTAGAACAACATAGCTGATTCGGAAAGATTCTCCAATTCCGCCCACTTTCCAGCTCAGCTATGTTGTCCTAGATTGTTCCCTTCTCCGGCCTTCTCCCAACTCTTCACCCTTCCGTGAATTAACCCCCTCTCCTCTCCTGCTTATGTTAGATCCATTCTGTCTACGAACTGACCAGTGTATTAACCCTTTCACCTCCCTTATCTTTCACATCTATACATTAACCCCTTCCTCGCCATCCTCTCACTCTGCGACCTGTACATTAACCCCTTCACCTCCGCCTCCCTCTGCCTATGACCTGTACATTTATTGTATCTTGTGCACTATTACCAAGCTCCATGTTTTAACCCCCTCAATACCGGAACGTCTGTTCATTTGCAAAATTTGAAGAAAAAAAAAATCAGAGTGTCCATTTTTCAAACAGGGGTAATTTTAGGGATTTTTTGAACTGTTCCGAAGCTCCATTTGTCCCCAAAAAATTATATAACATTCATTTTTGTTACAATGCTGCGTAATGGAGGAATTCTCAGCCAAACTTACACCGAGCTGAAAACTGAAAAATATCCTGGTAATGAAGGGGTTGTAACATGTCAGTACTGAAGGATTTAAAGGAGAACTATGAGGCGAGTGATTTTCACTCAACCTCATAGTTCGAGCCGACGTGTGACAATGAAACTGTCGCTCGCTCACTTCTCGATCTATCCCTGGCGAGAGCCGTGAATGTCACTCACGGCTCCCTGCAGGGATTCCCCCCCTCCCCGCTCTGATCCTCCAGCGCTGACTGGCGGAACGGTCGTGGAGGGGGCGGGTACAGCTGGCTCTGCCTCTAGATAGGCAGAGCCAGCTGTCACTCACGCAGCTGGGTGGATCCCGTCAGCTACGTCGGGATCCGCTCCAGGTGCGGCGTCTCAGTATACCGCGAGCTGTAGCTCGTGGTATACTGAGCTTAGGGAGCAAACGCTAGTTTGTGTCCTCCCGTTACCCCAAGGAGAACTATGGGGAAAAACACTGACCCCATAGTTCTCCTTTTAAATGATGTCTCTTATTCCGATCTTCTTCTTCTTTCCTGATGTTTTCATCTGTCCCTCCAGCCGAAAATCCAAACTGCGCATGCGCCCGCCCCAAGATGCTTTGCGGCCGCCCAAGCAGTTTCGTTTTCTCAGACGGGGGCGCGTACCAAAGACGGGGTAAGTGTAAACTGCTGTTAAAGCGTAAAAAAAAAAAAAACCTTTTGCATATATCTACTGCTTGCTAGCATTAGATATATGCAAAAAAACAGGAGGGTTTAGAAACCCTTTAAAAGTCTTGTCGTGCTGGCTTTCCCTTGCAGGGTAATACAGAGCCACCCTTGTGTGTGTTAGTAAGCTGTGTTTGTCTCCACAGACACACAGGCACACCAAGACAATCCCCTCTCTTCCCTCTTCCCTTCTCCAAACTAGTAGATGGACAGTTGCTGGAGTCTACTCTGTCCCTTGTGATCTTGTACTGGACAGGAAGTTCAGGGAAGCCGAGCTGAGAGTGTTGGAGCTGTTTGGAAACATGATGACTGTGTTTGGGCAAAAATGTAAAGACATGCTTTGCTGGGCGATGTATATTTATTTGATTTGGATTAATTATTGAAAAAAGTCTAATACTTTAAAAAAAAAATATATTGCAGATTTGTTTTACTCATTGTAGATTATTTGTCTTGCAAAGGCAAGAAATTAAAAAACCTGATTTTTATTTCTATGTACCATAAGTAATGTATTCATGAACTCTGATCCTAAGTTTGCTGCTTCTACAAATATAACAGACAGATATTTTGTATTTGTAGGTAGTTCCCTTAAAACCCATCGATATGACCCGAGTATTGAAATTGTTTGAAGATCCGTTCTCTGTAAGTATCTGTCTTCCTGCATGTTATGTACTAAAATCTACATATCTAAAAGTGACGCAGTGTAAATAAATGATGCACCGATACTTGGCATTTTCATGAGAACTACCAGGGTTGCAGCGGTTGCAGCTGGGACCCGGCTCTGGCGCTCCACCACGGTCCTGAGTATGAATGAACAGGAGGGGATGTACTTCCCATTCATTCATAATTGAGGATATAGTCCACATACCATGTCCTCAATTATCTACAAACACTCAGCGATCACTGATCCCTGAGTGTTTGCATTGGCTCTCCTTTCTGACAGCTGTCATAGGAGGCTGAGCGAGCGGTGCGGGAGGAGAGCTCAGCCTCCTGCGACATCGCTGGCTATCTCCGCCCACACATCACTCTGCTGCACTGTGATAGGAGGCTGAGCAGTGTGAGAGGAGAGACACCTGCCGCTGTCACAGTTTCTCTCCTTCCCGCTGGGACACAGAGCAGCGCCCAGCGGGGAGGAAGGAACGCAGGGATGTGCTGATGTATCGGCAGGAAAATGGCACTTTCGGCATTTAGCAGCCGGCCGATAGATTGGTGCATTCCTAATTTTTATACTATGTAGCCCCTCCCCATACTCAGTATATATAGTATTAGGTCTAACGTACATGGCTATTACAGTATCTACAATAATATTTTCCCCACAGCTCAGCTTTAAATATAAAGGGCACATAGACTAATAAACGGGAGCCACTGAGTCAACCCTTTAGAATGTATTGGTACCTCATGCACAGTAATGGTTTGTTTTCTCTTTTTGTTCTTTTCTTTCAGAGAGATTTAGTAGAGCGGCACGTCAGAGTTTTGAAGAAAGTTGCCAAAACATATTGCAATGGTATTGTATCCTTTTGTGAAACACTGAGTGCATGTGCCGTTATCTTTAGGGGCCCGTTCACACCATCACGTCAGAAAACACACGTTTTTACAATGTAACACAACACAGGATGTGCGTTACTTGCATTCTGCACCTGTTTACATGCATCCTCTTCCTCTACATTGCCCAAAGTTAATGGGGACATACTGACCTGTGACTTAACACACTGTACTAAATAAAATGCGTATTGTGTTTTTAGTTTACACCAAGAGGACTTTTTTTTAAACGCAAGGCTCTGATTGGAAGAGCTTCATAGATTATAATAATAATATGGTAATATAATAACGGTAACTCATTTATTATGTGGTTGTAGTGCGCTCAGATTGTGTGTTGTAGGGTATATAAAACGCGATGGTGTAAATGGGCCACTTTTGGTATTTTCACTATTATTCTATTCATCAATATTATTTCTATCACATATCTAGCAGAGCTGTGACCACGTAAGGCCCGAGCCTCAGGTAACTGTTTATACTACCCCACAGTAACCAGATTTAAGCTATAATTATTTTTCTGCTGTCATTTTGAGTAAAGGGTTAAATCTGTTTAGTTGCTCCTCAGGCTGTTCCCCATTTAGTTGCTCCCCATTACAGAAAGTTTGATCAATGAGGACCATTAATAACAACAGAAATATAAAATATCTGGTGCTTATGCTGGCCATACACATAGCAATCAGATTGTTCAATCTCTATACCCTTCTATATGCCAATTGAAATAAATGACTTGTGTAACACCAGCGCTTCTGGATGTGCATCTGGTCAATGGACAGAATTTGGACTCATTGAGAAAACAAATTCTCTCCTGAACCTACATAGTATTATGATTAGTTCCCTGGATCCACTTCTTTCCATCCTATTGTTATATGTGGTGTTGTCCCATTAGAGTTCTGTGTTTTCCTTAATGTGAACATTTAATAAGCTCCTGAAAGATCTTCCCCAAATAGTGACAATTTTAAATATCTGTGCATCGAGAGCCGAAGACCACACAGAATACATAGATCGCATGTGTGACATTGTGAAGCTCTGCGGGTAAGTAGTTGTCTTTAGGTGACGATATCTGGCATTGTAGCATGAAAACCAATATAGTGAAAGTATAATAATTTAAGTGGAACCGTGGTCAAAAGCAGGGATGCACCTATACCGATACTAGTATCGCCCAAATGCTCCAATGCCTAGCCCGATACTTGAACTTCCGCTAATAGGATGCCGGGCAGCGAGTCATTACACGCTATCCGGCTTCCTGATTGGCCGGGAAGCCATCCCCATGCTCCCTCGTCACTGGTGAAGAGGGAGCATGGAGCCAGCCGGGAAGCCGGGCAGCGTGTCATTACACGCCCCCCGGCTGTCTGATTGGCTGGAAAGCCGGCTTCATGCTCCCTCGTCACCAGGTGACGAGGAAGCATGGAGCCGGCTTTCTGGCCAATCAGGAAACCGGGCGCGCCGGGTAATGATACTTTCCCGGGTTCCTGATTGGCCAGCTTCTCTACCCAATCAGGAAGCCGTGCAATGCATCATTACACGGTGCCCGGCTTCCTGATAGGCCAGAAAGCCGGCTCCATGCTTCCTCGTCATCTGGTGAGGAGGGGGCATGGAGACGGCTTCCCTGCTGATCAGGAAGCTGGGTGCCGAGTCTTTATATGCTTCCCGACTAATCAGGAAGCTAGGTGGCGAGTCATTACACGCTGCCCAGCTTCCTTAATGGGACTTCCGGTATCGGTATTCTGTATCTGCGAGTACCAAAAAATAAATATCAATACTCGTGCTCTATACCGGAAAACCGGTATCGGTGCATCCCTAGTCATAATCAATAATGACATATACACTGCCTTGCAAAAGTATTCACCCCCTTGGTGTGTTTTCTGATTAATGGCATTGCAATCTGGAATTTTTTATTTTTATTGTGCCCAAACAATAATTAAGACAAAAAAAACAGAAATCTTGGGTATGCATAAGTATTCACCCCCCCAACCTTTGTGGAGCCACCATTTGCTGCAATTACAGCTGCATATCTCTTGGGGTGCATCTCTATTGGCTTAGCACATCTAGCCACTGGGATTTTTGTTTTTGCTCATTCTTCAAGGCAAACTGCTAAAGTTCCTTTAAGTTAGATGCTGGGATGCCTGTGTACAGCAATCTTCAAGTCATGCCACAGTTTCTCAATTGGATTGAGGTCTGGGCCATTCCAAGACATTTAAATGTTTCCCTTTAAACCAGTCGAGTGTAGCTGGAATACTAAACGAGAAGATGGACACCACTTTGTAAAGGTCTTGATCATGTGATCACCTTGATTAGCCGATTGATGACCGATCACTTTGAAGAAAGGGAACATTTGCTGCTGCAGCAGTCTTGGGTCGTAGAGAGATCAGGAACCCGTTTGCATTGTTACTTATCATGTGATCACCTGGATTTTGCATCATGATAAAAGCAGAGTCCCGCCATGGCCTACAGCAAGACCATGGATTTTGCTGTCTCTATTTCCAGCATCGGGGCTATGCATCATAGAGATGCTCAGTCTTTTAAATCTGTGATTGTCACTGCTTCTTGAGGGAAAAGCTAGAGGCCTGTAATGTGACTTAGAAACTGTAACAACAGAGACAAACCACCAAAGTGTTTAGCTGGTTTTTCTTTTGCCAGTTATATTGTGTTTAGGGTATGTCATTTATAATGTAAGGAAGAAGGGAAGAGCTGCAAATCATGCAGTATCACATTCAACCAGTAGATGGCGGCAGTGTAGTGCTTTCATTTCTAGTGCAGGATAAGTTCAGCTGCATGCTGTGCTGGAGACTGCAGAACAAGGTGATGACTGCTGATCACATTCTAATAATGACATCACAAATAAAGGAATACCAGACACAAATATGCAGAACATTGCTTCTGGTACTTTTATTGTTTTTAGATTGTAGTGCTAGGAGGCACCATCATCTGGTTTATTACTGATCAGCTAGGAGCTGCTTAGTTTTGTCCTAGGGAGAAATCGGAGCTCAACATTACCCTGTAGCCTGTGTATAGCTCGACATGCAGCTAAACTAGCGATGCACCGATACCGTTTTTTTCGGTATCGAGTTCGAGTACAGATTATTATTTTTTCGGTACTCGCCGATCCTGAATACCGGAAGTCCCATTTAAGGAAGCCAGGCGGCGTGTAATGACGCGTTGCCTGGCTTCCTGATACCGGAAATATCGGGCTAGGCATTTGAGCATTTGGGCGAGTATGAGTACTCGCCCAAATACTCGGCATCGGCACCGATACTAGTATTGGTATCGGTGCATCCCTAAGCTAAACCCTTCTATTCTGCAATAAACCCGACTGAGTGAAATCTTGATGCTTTATTAACAAAACAGGGTAATGTGAAATTGGTGATAAAAGAACATGAAAACATACAATCAATATATTAAACATATCAATATAGTGTCAGCTTACAAATATACAGAGAAACAAGTCCATCCATAGCAGCAATGCTGCCTAAAGGAGATTTGGGCTCTTTTCTAGACACGTGCTTCTGATGGCAGTGGATTCTCTTCTCCTCCTAAAATGGAGGCTGAACTCCCAATATGTTTTTTTTTCCTTCTCTTTGGACAGAGAGGATGTTGGGAGTTAAATAAAGAAAAAAAAACAGTCATGAAATTGCTATAAGCAAGATATTTTCCTTCAGCTCCACCTAGTGGCCGATTTTGATATGGCAGGTAGGTAAGCCTATGATTTCTACATGCCAGAGGTGGAACAGTAAACGCAAAGAACACAACACCAGCTAGCTACCTGTTTACAGTAACAGGTTTCTGGAAAGAAAGGTGGCTGTACATCGTTAGAATTTGGAATAATTCACAGAAATTAACCAAAATTCTTACAGTGGTTGGCCCTGCTGGCTTGATAGAAGTTGATTACTCAATTCACTTTTGACGAGGAAGCCGGACCATCAAAAAATGTTGGCAGTGACTGCAGCCAATCAGCCCTTTGTGTATACTGAAAGTAAAGCGTGCCAGCTGTCAGAATACAATAGCCACAGCAGGAGATTCATCCATCCACGCTATTTAGTAATAGTACAGCAACAACATTATCATTATATTGAGTCACTTAGGGGTGTCACAATGAACCCCAATTCCTTTTAGGAATCTATCAATGCTCCTGTTGTGTGCTGCGCCTGTGTTTTCCTTAATTTGCCCCATTTTTAATATAACAAGCATTTTAAGGTGATGGTAACGAATAAATGTTCTGTTTTATAATTCAGTCTCATTGTTTGTTGTATTTGTAGCCTCCCATTCCTAAAAGAGAGGATGTCAGATGAAGCCACATACGCACTGGCTGTTGCAGATTCCTTTTCTCAGTTAGGTGAGTGGTTTTATGAACCCATAAACATGTATAGAAATGGTGTCAGTGCATTGAGGACATCCATCCTATGGGCATCTTCAATAAGTAAGTTTACAAACTTCTAGATGGATCTGGTTATTAGGAGTGGGAGAGAACTTATGGAAATTAAGTACAGGCAGTCCCCGGGTTACGGGCGTCCGACTTACGGACAATCCGTACTTACGAACGGGGTCCACACTTCTCCTAAATGTACCGGCAGCCGCCGGTACATTTAGGAGAACTGTGGCTGCAGCGGCCTGTGTCCTTTCAAGTCCCCCCTGCTCGTCGCGCCTGTGTTGGCAGAGGCAGCGGGGACACAGACCGCTGCATACCGCCGATGCCCCACGTACCTCCGCTGATGTGCTGGCTTCCTCTTGAGCCATTCCGTCGGCTTCCCCAGTCCGGACGATCCTCCGGTCTCCTGGTCCGGCCGCGGCTCCTCTGCCCCGCCCCCCTGCCTTCTCTTCATTGCAGGCTGGGAGCCATACCCAGCCTGCTATTGGATATTGTAAAATGCAATAGCCAATAGCAAGCTGGCTATTGCACCCGCCCACTGTCTTCTGTCAATCAGCATGGGGGACCTGATGGAGAACTTTCTGCTTCAGGCCCTTCCTCTGCTGATTGATAGCAGGCAGTGGGCAGATGCAATAGCCAGCCTGCTATTGGGTATTGCAATTTGAAATATCCAATAGCAGGCTGGCTATGGCTCCCAGCATTAAAATACAAAAAAAAAAAAAGTTTAAAAAAATTAAATTTAAAAATAATTTTAAAAAAATGATAAAGTAAAGAAAAAGTTAAACAAATAAAAATGAAAATTGCAAACAAATAATAAAAAATAAAGTTTATAAAATAAAATTTAAAAATAGGAAAAAACTTTTTTTGCTGTGTCATTTTAAATAAAAAATGTTTTTAATTATATTATAATCTTCTGAACAACAGGAACAGACAGCAAAAGAACCGTGACCCTTCCCTGTGCTATCCAAAACTAAAAAATGTTTTTTTTGGGCTGGAGTTACACTTAAAAAATGTACATGTTCCGACTTACATACAAATTCAACTCAACTACAAACCTAAACCTATCTTGTATGTAACCCGGGGACTGCCTGTATAGAAATACAGATTTATTTTTATTTTTTGACCATATATACCCTTTACAGAAAACAAACATCATACCATCATCATGCAGTAATGCTATTTATCTACAGTATACTGAACACTGTATATCAGGTCACTGACAGTAATGCCATGTATTATAATGATGTATTCCACAGCACTTTACAGATGACATTGTCATTCTGATATCAGTCCCTACTCCCGAAGAAGACTACGGTCTACTCAAATGTCTCCTATATATCGGTAGTCCTTTTATACATGCTGACTGGTATAGGGATATCATTATTACCATTCTGAAACCGGTGTCTTCCTGTAATATTGCTAATAGTAGTCAGTCACATTCAGCAGGATTTGTTCTGTAATGTTGATGTTTTCTTGGATTCTCCAAGCTATTTCTTCACTTCTAATGAGTGTCAGGAACATAGCCCTTTCTGTAAAGTTGTGTTCGTGTTATTCAGGTGAAGAGCACCGGGTATATTTTTCATTTTACCTGAAGAACATGCTGAGTGTTTACCAGTCAGGGATTCCTTGTATGTCATAATCCCCAAAGTGCAGAGATCTCTCTCAGACGGCTCTTGGGCGATGACGGCATCTCGTGTGTGTATTCAGTAGAGAATTACAACCTGCGGTACAGTTAAAGTGATCCTTTCAGCCATTGTAAAGTTTAAACAATCCTACTGTTACAGGTATTAGCTGGAAAAGGAATTACTCTATGCACTTTGATTTAGTTTTACTTTGTCCCTAGGCAGTTGACTGCCCTGGCCTTTGGGCTAAGCCCTATTCACCTACATGCAATAAGAGCACCTTTATGTTCAATTAAGTTTTATTGAGTTTTTCAAAATAGAACAAAGAGCGATCATATAAAACAAGACTGAGAATAAGCAGGGATATAGTAAAAGAAGGCAAAAACGACCAACATGAAAGAACAAAGTGTGCTAGTACAGTTGTGACCAAGATGCCTTAAAGTGACACTAAACTCAGGAGTTAAACATTAAAAATACATTCAAGTGCCTTAATTATTAACAAAAATTTATCTAATTTGTGTGTCACTCGGCTGTAGATCCTCAAATCATCTCTGAATTGGTGCTGACACTGTCCTTCCTTCTGGAGGGGGGCTACTTTTGTTCCCCATGGTCCCTTTGTGTGTTGTAAAGTAGTCATGGCTCCAAGCTCGCTCCTGTGATGGACTACAAACTCATGTTTAGTTAACTAATTTTCATTAAGATTGTAGTCCATCACATAAGTGAGCTTGGAGCGGTGGTAGGTTCATTGGCTCTTGTCTAAAGTGTCCCTAGTACATGTGTGCATCTATGTATGCACACGAGGAAGACACCTTAGATTGTGAGCTCCAAGGACTGATGTGAATGTCCAGTATGTAAGGTGCTGTGTAAATACATAAATAAGAGCCTTAGCCCAGAAGTTAAGTACCAGAGGATTGTAGAGAGAAGGGGGTTTTATAATTAATAAAAGTAAGAGCAGACCCATATACTACACGGCTTTTAGGTTTAAATGCCTGTAATGGGACAGGCTAGATTTTTTCTTTCTTTCTAAATATAACACATTAAGATCATGCTTTGCACTTTTCATAATTTGATAATGAAAAGAGAATGAATATAATTCTCTTATAGTGAGCCTGTGAGGATGGGAATTTGGGAATTGCTATTTGTTTTTGAAGGAACCCCATCCTGTCATTGAGGTCAGCAGAAGAAACCAGTAAGAGCAACACTACTGGAAGATTTGGTTTTCCAGCAGACTTCAGGGGCTCATTTGTGCTGAACGGAGTGGCGTTCAGGAGCTCGGGCACCAGGAAAGGTTCTTTTGCAGGTAGCAGAAGCTTTAACATTCATTTGTCACAACAAGGTCACTTTAAAGGTTCAGGCTCCAGAACTGCAATCCTATTGTTGGCTTTATGGCCTGATGAGTCACTGATCTGAAACAAGCATGCAGCTATTGAAATCTGAAACGTAAAAAACCTATGCTGTATACGTTTTCCAGGTCACTGACTGACTAGCTAAAGAAGTCAGGAACTTGGAACCTTCACCTTCAAACTGACTCTTTCACCCTAGGATCACGTCTGCACACAAGGCAGCCCGTAATTGAAAAGGCAATATACTTACCTGGTGTTGCTTTACTGCTCCATCGCCACTACATACAGTATATACCACACTTCTGGGTCTGTAGAAAGATCTGCTGCTATTCGACACTTTGGGTGTATAGAATCCCCACTCCACGCTGTGGTTCGTCCCGCCAGCTTGTACTAAACTACATGACATACAGGATGGCGGAAGGAACCAAAGCATGTGGTGGGAGAGCAGGCATTCTACACACCCAAAGTGCCAAATACCTGCAGCTTTGCAACACATGGGCAGTCAGAAAGATGAATATATTGCCTCTTTTTTTACATGCAGCCTTGAGTGTAGAAGTGACCCTGTGGTGACAAGATCACTTTAAAAATAAATGCGCAGTGGTCTTGTATTTGTGGTCTTACAGGTTCTTTTTAATATTAGCTCTTGGAGTTTGCTGTTTGTAATATCAGTGTTGCAGTATAATTATACAGATTGTGGTGAGAAGGGACTAATGGAATCAAAAAGGCCCGCCAAGCAAATCAATGAGTAGCACAGTAAAGCCTTCCTAAAAAAAAAAGGTATTATATGTCTCATTCCATCACATTTCCCAAAAATAAAAGGGCTATTCCTCATTTTTATGAGAGTGGGCAGAGCCACGCAAACCATTCATTTACACCCCAAACAGCCAAATGCACATCCAGAAGTATTGGGGTATAGTGCAAATATAGCCTAATATTATATAACGGCACCAAAATTGTTTGTCTTGTAGGCTGCCTGATGAGGGTACCGAGTTCCCAGCTGAGGATACAGATCTGCAAGTCCATTGCCAACTTTTACAATCCAGAGAGGTCAAAACAGCAGACTGAAGGTAGAGTAGTTGTAATATTTTACACACTTAATGCAATAACCAGATCTGGTCCAGCTTTTCAGTGAGATGATTGGTAAGGCTTTAAACTAGGGATGTTCAGATACCAGTTCAGATACCAGTCCAGATACCAGTGCCAATACTTGGCATTTTCATGGGTTACCAGGGTTGCAGCTGGGACCGGGCTCTGGTGCTCCACCACTGTCCTGAAATCATTAGTCTGTATTGCTTTAGAAAAACTGTCACATGACAATAAACAAAAATGTATCAGTACTTGTATCTGTGAGTACTTGGACAAGTATCAGTGCTTGTACTTGAAAAAATGGTATTGGTGCATCCCTCATATACAGGTGAAACTCGAATAATTGGAATATGGTGCAAAAGTAATTGCAGTAAGTGCTGCAAAAGGGGCCCAAACCAAGTACTGAGTACATATGCATGCTTGTACTTTTCAAGATATCGGTGCATCCCTTATATATATATGTTATTAAAAACAAAATCATACATTAAAACAGAGATGTACAAATCCCAGGAGCTCCGTGTGCTCCTTACAAATGACAGCTGCCTCCTAACTTTTGAATTTTTCTCTAGTCCAGTCCTGGAGCTGGAAAAGTATCTGTACTTGTACTTGTACGGAGTACGGTACTTGGTATCTGAACATCCCTACTTTAAATGTACTCCTCAGTAGGCTAAATTCACTCGGCTATAAAGATCGTTGTGTGCTATAGCAAGTCATTTTTTCAGCTGTAACAACCAATGAGCTGAAAATAACAAATAACAATATTTATGGCAAATTACACTTATATTATAGTTTAGTGAATTGAACCTATGACAACGGTAACAAAAATTCATGATTATATTTATTAAAATTTGTTGGCACTTCAGAAGGGTATAAATGTTCAGCACTACACTAAAGCTCGCCTCTTTCTTTACATATGTGACTATGGCCGTGCTAGGCGGCTTGGATGTGGTAGTCAGATGGTGTTGGCACAGCGATTGCACCAACCTTCTGGGTCTTAAACAATTTATTACTACACATTACGGCACGCATTAACATGTGTCGGGTTACTGCAGCCTATTCTTTATGAAAGGGCTGCAAACGCACCACAATAGATGAAAAAACCAAACACCCTTTTTAAAAACCGAGTACCACATTGCTTGGGTTTGGGTACACGTTAGGAAGAGCAGCTTTTGGTGCTGATTTGTAATTTCTTTAATCTTATTAATGATTTGTACATACAGGTAATAATGAACATTTGTGTGTTTATATTTTTATACACAGGTTTTCAACCAACCAGCATAGGGTACAAGATACAGATGGCTGAATTGGGGGGTTTGGCGGAGACCCTTGTTTTGTCTCTGACATTGCTTGAGAATCAACTGCAGGAGAAGATAGCACTGCTGAAAGTACTGCAGCTTCTCTCAAACTCCATTGGTACGTGTATTAACTGTGACCTAATATATTATAATCACAGTCACTAACAAGACGCTCTACTACTGTGATTTGGACATGTTGCCAGTTGTATAATGTTCTTTAATCTACTATGACATAGTGGGGACATTTTGACACTGCCACAATATGGTCATATTCATAGACAAATATCCAAGAGAGCCAGGGAACTTATTTAACATGGATCCGAACTCAAAAATTAAAGATTACACTTTTTTTTTTAAATGTTATAATAAAAAAAATAAAGATTTGCTTTGTTGTAGGGAACATTTAGAAATGTTAATTTTACTTAGGCTGCACCTTGAAAAATGTACCTTTTTGTCATGAATTCCTCCTGAAAAATATCAGTGCACTTCCTGGTATGTGAAGGTACCTGGGCACTCCTGTGCCTACCACCTCATAGCTGTATATGTGAAGTGTGAAATATAAGGCACTGCTGCTTCTGACGGTTGGCCTCAGGAGATTTGCAGTGAGATTTGGTGATGTCACTACTGTACTGCTCACTGTTCATCTTGCTGGAGACTCCGACATCAGAAGGCAATGTCCTGCCTCTACCAAGATGGCTGCCTCCACACACCGCCACCGTGCAGAACAAGGCATGGTTAGTCAGTAATGAGAGAAGGATCAGCTGCAGGGAGGCAATCAGCTGATCAAAGGATGGTGACCAAGGTAGTTGCGCTAGGATATATGAAAAAATCAGAACTGATCAAAGGAGACGGCCAGAAAATCTTTAAAACTAACAGAGCCGGCAGCAATGAGTGGCCGGCTCTGTTCGGGTGTTTTGACATTATTAGGACATCATTAGGAGAACCATTTCATCATTAAAGAACAGGTGAAGGGAACACATTTTATATGCTTGTCTTTAATACCTACAATCCCTTTTGGAACAATAAGAAATAATCCGTGACATTCCTGAGACAGAGCAAGCTGCAGTCACCGATATTCGACATAAAGTGGACCTGTCACCCAGGAAAATATATGAATCACTTACAATACTTATCTCTTCCTTCTATTTAGGGAACTGTAAGCTTATGGCTAAAGCTCAGGCTGCCTGCCGGATCTGTTCCCGACTTAATGACCCCGACCCCTCCGGACAGGTTCTCTTTCGCTCCTCTGAAATTCTCTGGAATCTGCTGGAAAAGGGACCTAAAGAAGAGATTATTATTCAGCTCAGTAACATAGAGTGTATTTAGTAAGCACATTTATTATTACTGTATCATAGTCCGTCCTTTTCATGGTAAAACTTTTAAAGAAGAACTCCAGGAAGACGTTTTCTTAACCTTTGCAGTGAGGCTAGCCGGCACTGCAAGAATTAAGTGCTCGTTTTTGTCTTGGTTAAAAAATAACAAAGTTATACCCACCCAAAGCTCGGAGCCGGCCAGCTGTCACAGAGCTCCCCACAGCCTGTCTGTTCCCCCGCTGCAGCATTGGAATCTTCCTCAGCGTCCTCTTGTCTATACGCAATAAGGGGAATTTATCAAAACTGGTGCAGGCAAAATCTGGAGCAGCTGTGCACGGCAACCAATCAGCTTCTCTCTCCAGTTTGTTCAGTTAAGATTTGAAAATGAAAGAGAGAAGCTGATTGGTTGCCGTGGGCAACTGCTCCAGTTTTGATGAATTCCCCTCTGTGTATAGACGTGATGATTTACTGGACCTTAGGCCCCATTCACACTGAGCGACATGAAAATCGCGCAATTTTCAGCGCGATTTTATATGTGCGATATTGTGCGACTTATCACGCGACGTCGCGCGACTTTTTCCTATTGGGCTGTATGCAATCAGGAGCAAAACCGCTCGAAATCCGCAGAAAAAAGGGTCATGCAGGAGCGACAAGCTACAGCGACGAGCTACAAGCCATATTGAGCGGCGAGATGTGAACAGCTCCATTGAAATGGATTGGAGAAGCTACATAGAGCGATATCGTGTGTAAATATGAGCGATATCGCTGCAAAAATCGCACGATAAATCGCTCAGTGTGAATGGGGCCTTAGACCTCAGCAGAGGAGGGGAAGAAAGGTTCTAGGAACCGGTCTAAGAACAAGCCGGCTCAGAGCATCTGGTAAGTATAACTTTTTTTTAACCTAGGCAAAAACAAGCACTTAACCATTGCAGTGCCGGGGTAGGCTCACGGCAAGGGTTAATGCATCTTTTTCCTGAAGTTCTTCCTTAAATCTTGTCTGTAGAGGGCAGAGGAATGCTGATCACACACAGTCAGATTTTGTGATAGAGTAGCTATGCAAAATCAACACAACAACTGTGCAGTGTGAGAGTCTGCCTGACTGGATGTAAGTGGTGCACAATGTTTAAGCCCTTGCTGACCTCAGGGTGGTCAAAGTGTATTTGTATGACAATCAGTTCTCAAACAAAATGCAATGCTGTGCGATCAGCTTCATAGTAAAGGAGGCAGCTAAGAAGTCAGCTGGAGTGTTGCCGGCCCTGCCCATTGTCTTTTGTTAAACTATTTAACAACTCCCACTGTCAGATCTCTACCACATGGGTGAATCGTTAAAAACTAGAAGGGCTCTTTGAGATAACATAAGAGAGCTCTGAATTTCTGACAAGATACACAGGTATTTCTCATTCATTAACCACTTCAGTAACTGGATGTTACACCCCCTTCATTACCAGGCAACGTTTCAGTTTTCAGCACTGTGCAAGTTTGGCTGAGAATTCCTCCCTCACAAAACACTGACCAAATTCATTTTATATCATTTTTGTGGGACAAATAGAGCTGGCAGTATTTAGGGGGGTTTGGCAGCTGCTCTCTCACACACAAGCTGCAGCCCATAAAGGTGGCCATACACTTTACAACCATCGCAAGACCTTAGTCTTGCGATGCTTGTAAAGTACTTAAAGGAGAACTATGGGGTCAGTGTTTTTCCCCAGCATGACCTGAGCACTGCTGCAATCAACAAGAGCATGAATGATGTTGAGTAGAGCTGTGTTCAGTGGGACACGTCAGACGGCAGGTGAGCCAGGCCACTGCTTGTGTGTGAGGAAGGGTCTGACTTTCTTACATGCTGCCAGCACAGCGTGCTTCATCCCATGCTGCAGCAACAGATAAAACATATTTATTACTGTGTACGCATGGCTTGCCTGCATTACTATTACAGCTAATTTGAAGCCAGGACTGAAGCGCAGCACTGTTGGTGTACTGACTACTTACAGGTGAAACTCGAATAATTAGAATATCGTGCAAAAGTAATTGCAGTAAGTGCTGCAAAAGGGGCCCAAACCAAGTACTGAGTACATATGCATGCTTATACTTTTCAGAGGTCCGATATTGTTCTATGTACAATCCTTGTTTTATTGATTGCATGTAATAATCTACTTTTTTGAGGTTGTGGATTTGGGGTTCTTGGGGTTTTCATGAGCTGTAAGCCATAATCATCACAATTATGACAAATGACGGCTTGAATTATCTTGCTTTGCATGTAATGAGTCTATCTCATATATTAGTTTCACCTTTTAAGTTGCATTAGTGAAATAAATGAACTTTGCACGGTATTCTAATTATTCGAGTTTCGCCTGTATATCTGCAAAAGCCGCACACTGACAAGAACAGTAGTAAACAGAAATAACTATTAGTAAATGTTTAGTTGTATTTGAAAATGTAAAAACGCTTGCACACTTAAGGCCCGATTCACACCTAGGCATTTTTGAGCAGTAGAAAACGCCCAGCACAAATCCCATGATTTGCGCAACAAAACGCCAAACGCAGAAAAAAGTAATGAGCTTTTCTTTGGCAGTTTGAAGCTTGTTTTTCCCCCATAGACGTTAATGGAAATGCCAGTAAAACACGCAACAGAAGCATATTCCACATTTTCGTGCGCGTTTGTATGGTCGCACATTGATCACATTGTGCCAAACACACATAAACGTGCACATAAGCACACGCTGAAACTCTGCGTACAAACGCACAAAAACGATGCCACCTTGGTGTGAACGGGGCCTAACATCTGTGTAGTGCTTGATCAAACCAAGCTTATCCATCAAAGTGTATGAGGGAAAAACCTCTGTTATTGTTCATCATAACCTACCTGATCCTCCCTACTCCCAGTGCACAATAGGTGAATGAATGGGAGGATCTGATTGGCTGTTGTGGACAATAAGGAAAATTCTTGTTTCTGATAAATGAGGCCTATTGTGTATGTTTTCAGTGCACTCAAGGACTCCTTTGTACGTCTTCTCACCAATGGCTACAGACATTACGACCGGCAGCTGCGAAATGACCTTCTAGTAATCGCTACATTGATCGCAGAGAACAATTGCTCTCCACTGGTTGTAAGTAAATGTAAATATAGTACAAAGTATATTATAATAACAATTAAAGCTTGGCACTTCCCTCACTCCAGGGTAACTCAATATGTGAACTGATATGGAAAATCACGGAGTGTCTGTAATTAGTCTATAACCCAGATGCTGCTTAGAGAACCTGTTACATTGCCCCAATCCTTTCTTCCTATGCACGTTATCCTCTCCATACATTGTCTGTCCTACTGTAATGCTGTGATCTCTAAGGCCCCATTCACACTGAGCGGATTGCCGCGCGATTTCCGCCACTATATCGTGCATTTTTGCAGCGCGATAACGCGAGAAGTCGCTGGCCAATGTTATTCAATGGAGCTGTTCTAATGTACAGCTCCATGTCGCTGTTGCGTCAGCAGGACCCTTTTTCCCGCGGCTGTCACGCGATTTTTCTATTTTTGAATGCAGCCCGACGGTGAAGGTCGCGCTATCGTCGCTGGAACGTCGCCCCGAACAGTCTCGCTATCCCGGCCGCGAGGATCCGCTTGTAAGGTATGTCGCTTAGTGTGAATGGGGCCTAAGACCCCGTTCATACTGAGCGATTTATCGCGCGATTTCAGCTCCAAAATTGCTCAAATATCAGCTCAATGTAGCTTGTCCAATGCATTTCAATGGAGCTGTTCACATCTCACAGCTCAATGTCGCCTGTAGCTCGTCGCTCAAGCTTGTAGCTCGAACCTATTTTTCGGCGGATTTTGTGCGATTTGGCCCAATAGACTTTAAGGCCCCATTCACACTGAGCACTATCGCAAATCGCACGATTGTCATTTTGCGCGATGTCGCGCAAATGATTGCATTGAGCAAAGTAGAATTGCGCTGAAATCCGCTCCAAAAAGGGTCCTGTTGTAGCGACAGCGACGAACAGAGCCCCATTGACATGCATTGGAGAGCGATATCGCGCGGTAAATATGCGATAAAACGCTCAGTGTGAATGGAGCCTTATGGTGTAGCTTTTGATTGGTTACAGCCCAATGTAGCAGCTGCAAAGTCCCTGCGAAAAGTCACGCTACGCAGCGCGACAAAATGTGCACTGTAGCTCAATGTAGCTCAGCCCAATTTTGCTCTGAAAAAAGCGCTTTTTTGGATGTAGCTCAGTGTGAATGGGGTCTGAGGAAGTCCACACTTCCTGACGATAATTTTTTGTTAGCCAGAAATATTTCCTTTGCATGCCTCCTCATAACACTTTCTTACTAATGGCCGGTATTTCCAACTTTTAGGGGCTTAGCCCCTTCCTTTGTTGCTGATCTCCAGTCAAATAGCAGTCGGTCCACTGAGAATGGCTCAGTGACCAGCAAGGGCACTATTATTGTTCAAGGGACAGTGGTTGGGTGGGCCAGCTTTAATATGCTTTTCTAAGCATATCTAGAGAAATATTTAGCTGCCATTGCTGACCACTATAGTTGCCCAGAAGTTATGCTGACCCTCTGGCTCCAGTACCTTTGACCCCCAAAAAAGTGTGTAGTTCAGGGAAGTCAAGAAATAGCCCAAAGTCCTTATCTGTATACCTTTTCTGGGTTAGTGGCTAATGCAGAAATCTTCCGCTCGGAGTATAGCTGGGCAAATGCCATTCGCATGGCATTACTGCTAACAGATGTAGCTGAGAAGCATAGGAATGTCCTATGCTCACTAGCTCCATCTAGTGGTGATAATGCAAATGGCATTCCCCCAGCTATACAATGGAATGAAGATTTCTAAATCAGCCCCTAAGTATTGAGTCAAGAGCATCAACATGACAGCCAATCAACTAGCATGTAGAATAAGAAGTAAGCAATGGCAGCCATCTTCTTTCTCTGCTTCTGGAGTGCATGGGCTCTACTGTAAGGCCCCGTTCACATATAGCGACATACCTTTTGCAGCGGATCCGCACGGCCGGGATAGCGCGACTTTCGGGGCGACGTTCCAGCGACGATCCAGCGACAGTAGCGCGACCTTCCCCGTCGGGCTCCATAGAAAAAAAGTAAAATCGCGCAAAATCCGCCGAAAAAAGGGATCCGGTAGAAGCGACTTGCGACCGCGACGAGCGACGCGCGACATGGAGTTAAGACAGCTCCATTGAATAACATTGGCCGGCGACTTCTCGCGATATCGCGCGGCAAAAATGCACGATATCGCGGCGGAAATCGCGCGACAATTCGCTATATGTGAACGGGGCCTAATGTGCAAGTATGCACAGCACAAGGTGCTCTCCTTCAGTGATACATTTGCACTTTCCCACTTCGTTCCATCTCTGTCACTGACATTGTCTGTCAGTATTATTCAAGTTCTGGTGTCATATTGTCACATTGGATATATTTGACGCGCTTTGAGCCAGATTTAGGTTCCTAGTGTAATGTTGTACATAAATGAGGTTAAATAGACTTCAGGAAAGAAGACTCGTAACTCCAGGCAAAAAGCTTAACTGTCGCTTGTTGAAGAAGTGGTCATGGGGACTTCTTAAGTTGCGATTGTTTTGTTAGGTGATACTCCAGTTTCAGACAACCGCAGGACAAGCGCAGATGTAATCAGTTGCAAACTTTTGCAAAACACTGTGTACAGGACGCCAGGAATGGGTCCTGGATGGACGATATATCCCTCCCTTGTTTAGGTGGTGGTCCCGTTAAGGTCGCCTTGTATTCAGGGTTCTCGTCAAGCAGGGTGAGGGGTTCCGGGTCGGACTTGTAAGGGAAACTGCTAGGCAGTCTTCCCAGAGTTGTTAAATATACATGGGTCCCGGAATCCGGAGGCTCAGAGAGATTTTTGGGTGGGACAAAGCCTCCATCCCTGACTACAGCCAGTTCTGGTAATGAAAGGGTTAACCCACCAGCCAGAGGGTGTGTTAAAAAAGGAACAGGAAGCCAGTCAGTCGGTGTCTGTGAGGAGTGTTTGGAGCAGGACACATGGCTGTGTGTGTTAAGCTGTGGCATACGTCTACCCAGATACCGCTGGGGCACCCGTGTCCATACTGGAACCCTCTGTGAGCAGGCTGGGACTCTAACCCTGAGGCTGGCACTCTAACCCTGAGGTGGGACTTAATATACAGACGCTGAACCGAATCTTGTATTTAGTGAATATAAGCCATTTTATTTGATTGTTTGTGAAAAAGAATAAAAGTTTATTTGCTGATACGGCTGGCTACGGGTCATATCCGCCCTGAATATTACAACTGGCAATCGGGAAAATAGCGCAAGCTCTGGTCAAAACAAGCGCACATGTTAAAAGGAGCGGCTAAACAGATTTGCACATAAAAAACAGTGATCTGAGAAGCTAAAACAAAAACAGGCTAATTCCCCCCCTCTTTGTTTGGATGGAAAATGTTTCATGCTTTGCATTTTACTTTCAGGAAAGCGGATTTGCCAAGCAACTGATCTTGTTTGCCACTTTTTCTGAAGGTGAGTACACAACATTAATAATGTATATACTGTACATACATATCTGTGTATATTTGACATCCATGTTGCTAGTTATGCAAGGTAAAAAAATGTTTACCATATTGTGTCTTCCCTACTATCTAGTTAAAAGTCACAACCCATTGGTTAAAAGTTTAAAGCTTTTACACAAGCATGAAGACTTTGAGATGAAGAAGCTGTTGCTGAACATGATGGTGGTGTTAACTAAAGATCTATCGACAGTTCAGGTAAGAATCTGTGACTGTGCTTTTACAAAAAGACTGTTAAAGCTGAAATCGGGGATAAAAAAAACAAAACTCCAATTAAATTGACATTAAAGCCCCCCCCCCCCATGTTATGTTAGGGATTTGCCGAAAATGCAGCCTTTAAGCCCCCCCCCCCATGTTAGTGTAAGGACTTACCGTAAATGATGCCTCTTTATTCGATCATCTTCTTCTTTCCTGTCCTTTTCATCTGTCCCTCCAGCGCTGGTGCGGGCCTCCAATCCAGCGCTGGCTCCTCTGTCCTCCTCTTCTCTGACATCCCACGGGGTCTGTGCAGGTGCATGCTGCTCCATAGACTTACCTTGTGTCTCTCCTCGTCTCCCGGCCGAACATCTGAACTGCGCATGCACCCGCCCCAAGATGCTTTGCATCCTCCCGAGACTCTTCAGATGTTCGGACGGGAGTGCGCGGCGAAGGCACGGGTAAGTTTAAACCTGTTTCAAAAGGTTTTTTTTTCTTCAAGTTTTAGCATATATCTACTGCTTGCTAGCCATAGATATATCCAAAAAAAGTAAGGGTTTAATAACCCTTTAATACAGCTACTTATTCATTTTACATTATTAAATGTACTTTTTTTTAAATGTAGGCAGTGCAGGTACCTGAATTTGGCTTGTTGTAAGTCTCTTCCAGTCCGTGTACAGTAGAGCTAGGCTTGGAGAAGCAGCACAAGGAAACAGTCAGTTGTGATGTGATGTTCTTGTGCTAACAAGGAACATGCTGATAGGAGGAGAGATCAGAATGACAGAGAGATGAGCTCATCCGTCTGCTGCTTTCCCTTTCACTGTCCAGTCACAGGCTGGAGGAGGAACAAGACCTGTAAGTTTTACTTAACTGCAGCAGTCAAAAATCAGGTCTTCTGCCTCACCAGTAGGGCTGTGCTACATAGCTGTTTAAATCCCAGGACAAGATGGATTCCTCCCAAATGTGTTTTTATCTGTGCATTTAGATGCTTGCCCGAAATTCAGCTTCAACTTATATTAAAATCAGAGGTGCACCGTAATGGAAATTTCAGAATCGAAACGAAACCAAAATAAAAAAAATGTCAGACCGAAACCGAAAATGTTTTTTATTTTAATTTTCTCACAAATGTGAAAGCCGCGCCAAGGCACATTTTCTGCAGAAGACGTGTATCCAAACCTCTGTTATTAACCTTAGTGGTGAGACAAGTTTTTTTACATGCCAGCTTGTGAGTGTGCCATGATACCTCAATTATGTACAAACACTCAGCCATCACTGATCGCTGAGTGTTTGCATTGGCTCACAGCGCTCTTCTCCCGCAGCGCTCGGCCGGCCGTCACAGTTTCTTTCCTCCCCGCTGGGACACAGAGCAGCGCCCGGCGGGGAGGAGAGAAATCACAGATGCGCCGCTGTATTGCCAGAAAAATAGCACTTTCGGCATTTAGCCAAAAGTGCAATTTTCGGCCGATATATCGGTGCATCCCTAATTAAAATACCTTAGGGTCAAGTGCTATAAGTCACTGTCTTCGTTTTTGTTTATGCTGGGTGAAATTTGGCTAGAAATAATAAGTGCCCAGGTATAGGTGTCTACACCTTAGACAAATGGCTACATGTTCTTAGCTTGCATCCTGCAGACTCTATAAAGAAATCATTGTGATAATGATGCCACCATATAATGACTGTCTGTCTGTGTCAATCATTTAGTTGCTCTGTGATGGAAAGGTGGTTTTAGCCCTTTTTAACTATGTCAAAGCAAGTGAAAAGCCTGGAGCCCATGACTGGCCTGCTGCCCGTTTTGAAGACTTACAGCTCCATGCCATTGCAACCTTATCAACAATAGCTCCTCTGCTGGTGGAGGAATACATGACCTGCCAAGGAAATACTCGTATCCTTCTCTTCCTAGAATGGTGCACCGGTCAAGGTAATGCCAATATATTACTGCCTCTGTTCTGAATTTGTGCAGTCATATAACAGGATGTGTTCATGATTGGTATATGAAGACTACGAAGCTGTGAAATCATTTTAAAATGCTTTGTCCATGTGGGTGGAGAGTCCTCAGCTCTGCGTAAGGTGTGTCTGGGACTGGGGAAACTGTGTCAGGGCTTCTTGTCCTCATTCCCATAGATGAATAAAGTGGTAGGGAAGGGAAGAATAACATACTGCAGATGCCAACCTTTCAGGAGCAAAGGAACAACATAAAATAAAAACAATTTCCCTTTAAATTTTGTCCATAAAAATTAAAACTGAACTCCGGGAACCAAAAATGTTTACATGCAATTAACCCTTGGAGTGGGGAGGGGGACCACTCCCCACTCCAAAGGTTAATTGCATGTTTTGCCTAGGGGATGATGGATAAGGTAATATTTTAACATTATTCCTGACACCATTTCTCTACTCTGCCCGGTCAGTCGCCACTCTCTGACAACATCCCATAAAATTCAGGACCAGCAGTCTTCATATTACAGGAGGGCACTGAGGACTAGTGATGGGCTCGGGCATGTTCGCAGCTCCACGTGCCGAGCCCGCCAGGAAGCTGACAGCGCCAATCACAGGCACTTCCCAATCTCTGCAGCTGCGGACCAGGATAATGTCTCAGTACCTGTGATTGGCTGCGGCGCTGTCAGCTTCCTGGCAGGCTCGGCACGTGGAGCTGCGAACACGCCTGAGCCCATCACTACTGAAGACCTGCCCACATTCCAGAGCATTGGACAATGGAGGAGAGTGCTGGCTGCAGAGGAAGCGAGGAATAAGGTAAGAATATTATAAGGTAACCCATGCAGTGGGCATTTTCCGTCTCCCCGGAGTTCAGCTTGAACAAATCCTAATATTAAATAACAAATCCTAACCAAAACTAGCTGTAAATAATTATGACCTAGCAACATTAGCCTTAAAGTGTATGTAAACCCTAACAAAGGTCTCTTATTTGCTCCCTTTTGGTCTGTTAAATATACAGGAAGTCCCCGAGTTACAAATATCCGACTTACATACGACCCCTACTTACAGACGGAGACTATTACTGTACAGCAGGAGGTCCCAGGCTGTAGGGAAAGTGTACCGCGCAGCATTTCAGCCGTTGTAATGCTACCGCGCTCGTGCCGACAAGGAGTGCCCACATTTTTGGGTCTGGTTCGTAGTACTGTACGTACATTACAGGAAGTTGGCTCTTGTTAGACGTGCAGACGAGGGGTGCCCGCCTCTTCTTCCGGGCCACTGTGAGGTTTTTACTGCTGTCTGTATCCTCATTAGAAAGATTTAATCTCACTTCCTGCCCTTGAGACAACAGGAAGTGAGAGGAAATCTACCCCTAGGAAGGGAAATTCATGGGAGTTTTCATGGGGAAAAAGGTGTCTTCACTGAAGCTTTATCACCAATCCTTGTTTCCTGTACAACCCAACATTTTCAAAATCCAATTGTCACAGGGACAGAAAGTGAGGTGAAATCGTCTGAACAGGGGCACACACAGCAAAACAAACGTTACAGCAGGTTCCCTATGCTATCCAAAACAAAAAAACGTTTTTGGGCTGGACTAACCCTTAAAAAATTTGCCTGTTCCAACTTACATACAAATTCAACTTAAGAACAAACCTACAGTCCCTATCTTGTTTGTAACCCGGGGACCGCCTGTACCACTGAAAGTGTTTTGTTATTTCTCTTCGATTTATAAAAAAAAATATTTGTTGATCCTGCCAGAAATCTGGTGAAATAGATTATTATGCAATTGTGATTTACAGTATCTGTGTTTGTATATATTTTTATTATGGTGGGGTCTTGCCTTGTATTGAATGTTTGTTGTAGCAGACAGAGCACTGAATAGATATGGACTATATAGGGGCTTATATGCTTACTTAGAAGCCTTTTTAAGTCCTGAAAACTTAACTTTAGTACACCTTACAAAGATTTACATTTCTTTTTTTCAGATGGATTCTCTGGCCAGGGTAATTGTTTCCATGGCACTGGTGGTCGGGGCAACAAGCACGCCCAGATGCGCTACAGCTTGAGACTGCTGAGGGCTATGGTGTCCATAGGGGATGAGACTCTGAATCAGGACCTCTGTGATCAGGGAGCAATTAATCAACTCTTAGGTAAGTCAAAACATTTCCTAATGCGCAGCTCTAATATTGTATCCTGTGAGAAATGTATTTTGTATTGTTTGGGATTAAAGTGGACCTTGCACCTCCCAATGAGAGTTACTGTCCAGGTGACCACTAACTTTATTATGCTGCATAAATATACTTCAAAGTCCAGAAGATCCAGCATTGTCCTCTTCTCTCATTCTCTGACTACAAGTCCCGCACTGCCATTTTTTTTTTTTTACATCATGGAGAGCCTGCTGTCTCTGTGTCGTCTTAAGGAAGAGTCCCAGAGTGGCCCCAAAAAGTTGGCAGTTTTGACCTATGTAACGTTATTTGCAATAAATGATACTTTCTTTGCATTTTTTGAGTGCTGGTGACCTATCTTCACACCTTCTTGTCCCCCTGACACTCCAGGCTGTGTGTGGTCCTTCAGCATCATCATGAAGCAGTTAAATATTTGAGTTCCACATCTGATAATTCCCCTGCACATACATTTTTAGATGCACTATTTTAAAGTTAACCTAGATATTATCATTTCATTGGTTATGTAATTCTGCAGAAATGTATATAAAAATACTCCTCAGATGTATATATTTGATACTGTAAAGAGTAGGCTGTGTTCTTTCACAATCATTGGAATAAGAACAGTGTGTTGCCACTGCAAGCAATCACATTCCAACTTCATTCTCTAACTTTCCATTACCAGTGCAGGTTTGCATTTGATTTGTTGGCAAACAGGCAGTTCTGCTTTCAGACACTTGCATTAGCAACCATGTGTTAACATGGATATACTGTATATGAGAATGACATGTTCTCTTTTTATCAGGGATACTGAAGAAAAGCTCAGCCAGTTCTAGTGATAACTTCATTTTGCTGGAGATGCAGTCTGACATCCTCGTCATTCTGTCCTCACTGTGCGAGAATGATGCACACAGAAAGGTTTGTATTCTATCTGTGGACATTGAGAATCGTAATTCATGTTATAATTTCTCATCTCCTGCAAGACAGACAGGGTTATTCACTAGGGTGAGGAGTTTGGAGAAGGCAGGAGAAGTGAACAATCTAGGACAATAAAGCTGATTTGGAAATATTCTCCAATTTTGTTCACTTTCCAGTTCTGCGATGTTGTCCTAGATTGTTCACTTCTCCGGCCTTCTCCTAACTCTCCACCCTTTTGTGAATAACCCCCTGAGTGTTTGTGCAGTTTAGTCATTGATTTTTTACTTCTTTTTTTTTACTTCCTTTTTTGATTTTTCACTTCCAACCAGACTGACTGTTTGTATGTGTAACACTGAGAGTTCCTATCATTAACTTATATTATTATTTCTCATGTCCTGCAAGACTTAGTGTTTTAAAGTGACACTAAACTCGGGAGTTAAATCTTATAAATGCATTCAAGTACTGTAACTATTGACAAAAATGTATATTATTTGTGTATCACTCGGCTGTAGATCCTCAAATCATCTCTGAATTGGCACTGACACTGTCCTTCCTTCTGGAGGGGGGCTACTTTTGTTCCCCATGTTCCCTGTGAGTGTTGTAAAGTAGCCACCACTCCAAGCTCACCCCGTGATGGACTACAATCTCGATACAAATGAATAAACTAAACATGAGAGTGTAGTCCATCCCGGGAGTGAGCTTGGAGCGGTGACTACTTTACAACACACACAGGGACCATGGGGAACACAAGTAGCCCCCCTCCAGAAGGAAGGACAGTGTCAGCACCAATTCAGACATGATTTGAGGATCTACAGCCGAGTGATACACAAATAAGATACATTTTTGTTTATAATTAAGGTACTTGAATGTATTTTTAGGATTTAACTCCTGAGTTTAGTGTCACTTTAATCTGTGCAAGACTGACAGTTTATATGTGTAATCAGGTGTAATGGATAGTTTTCCAACCATATCCAAATGTCATGTTCTGTCCAGTTTTTTTAAACAACTCAACAAATGTTCAAGAAACAGAATGACGAATGCAACATTCTACGTACTAAAATGATAGCTAAAGATGAATATACAGTAAATGGCAGCTCTCTGTTGAAATTATTTTATTGATTTTTCTTTGTACAATGTTTATATAGAGGGCTGGGCAATAATACTCTACAAGATAACTGCTTATGTTCTAAGCACAAGGGGTCCCTGGTTCGAATCCTGGCCAGGACACTATCTGCAAGGAGTTTGCATGTTCTCCCTATGCTTTTGTTGGTTTCCTCTGGGTACTCCGGTTTCCTCACACACCCCAAAGACATGCTGGAAGGTTAATTGGCTCCTCTCCAAATTGGTCCTCATATGTATGCATGTGAGATAGGGACATTTAGATTGTAAGCTCCTTGAGGACAGGGACTGATGCCTATAATAAATAAATAATATGAAGCAACACGTGCTCACCCTAAGATCGTAGCAGTTGCATAAAATTATTGCAAAATATTTTAGGTTGTTGCTATTGTTTACTTCTGATTATTTCCAAAAGGAGCATTTGTTGGACTTGTCTTGTCCTCTCAAAAATCAGCACATGTATTTACACAGCCTTACTCAGAAGAGGAATATGTTGTCTGGGGTAATTATCTTGTCAAATCTTTCACTTCCATAGGAATTGTTTGGCCCAGAAGGAGTAGATGTACTGATACAGTTCCTAAAGATGGACCCCTCTAAGTTTTCTAGTGGTCTCGGCCACAACAAACTACTTTTCTGCACACTAGATTCTGTTTGGTAAGTGTTGCTTCAACTCCTCTGCAAGGTAAATTGTGTGAAGTAAGTATTGCTCAGACTTGGTTGTGTTTGGTATCACTTAAAAAAGAGATTTAACGTTTATTAGAAAAACATTTGGTTCATTAAAAAGGCAGCATGGTGGCTAGCACCGTTACCTACTAATACTTAAAGTGGAAATGTACCCTTTTGTGTTGGGTGAGCTCTTGCCAACCAACACGTTGGTTACGTGTTTAGATGAAGCACTGAGATCTTGAGGAATGCTGAATTAAGTTTTACGTCCTTGGAAGAACATTATATCAGAATACAGCATTATAGAGCATACAAAGAGAACTTCGTGTATATATCAAAGATAAACATGAACATATAGACTAACATAGACTATCATTGCACTACAGCGCCATCTATAGCTCAAAAGACATAATATATGCTGTTGTATTTCCAACAGCTATAATGTCCAAGTATGCTTGCAAATAATGGCCAACTTACTCTGTAGTGTGTCCTCATCCAGCAATGTGACATCCGCTTTCCTCGTTGCTGCTCCATTGCTGCTGTTGACATCTCCTTGTCTTATGATTTTGTCTTTGGGCAGCCACTGATGATGTAGCTCCTGCACATGTATGCCGGAATTGCACCGTCCCTGTGGCTGTCTCCATATATCTTACAGATGCTGGGAATGTGCTTTATGTCCATTGTTTTACATAGGATTTGTACATTCTTGTACATGTTTGTGGAAGATATCCACACAGAGAAATCATATAAACTTCACCCAGATAGTGTGCTTTGTGGGGATTGAGCCCAAAACAGTAGCACTGCAAACCAAGGTTGCTGAATACATTTGTAATACGCATTCTGATACAAATGGCAGATGTATGTGTTGTATTTTTTATTGTCTTTTCTATTTTTTATTTAGGAGTTGTGTTATAGGATGTTTCTCGTCAGAGGATTACTTTCTTGAAAAAGAAGGCTTGTTTATTATATTGGATTTATTAGCAGTAAGTATGTAAAGTGATCTGATCCAGCCTCTCATGATTATTTAAGCAGACTTATACTCTCAAATGTAATCATAGTAATTTGATATTAACCAAATGTAGTTTTTTACTGACTAAATTGATGTTGTAATCAATACCCGTGAACCGAACTATTAGCAGACCAGGGTGATCATTCTGTCTACTCTTCGCATCAATTCTAGGTTTACTGGCAAAGAGTGAGCAAACATGTCCTTTTTAGCCTCTCTATCCTTGCCTTGTGTGACTTTGAAGTCTGATATCAGTGTGATGATAAAGCTAGCTCATTGACTTGGGTAAGAGGTAGGCAGCACAAGACAGCTGGCCTACAGTGCAGGAGGTAATAATGAGCCTATACTAATATCGGCGCCGATACTCGTACTCGCCCAAATGCTCCGATGCCTAGCACGATACTTCCGGCATCAGGAAGCCGAGCAGCGAGTCATTAGACGCTGCGCGGCTTCCTGATTGGCCAGGAAGCCGGCTCCATGCTCCCCAAGTGAGGAGGGAGCATGGAGTCGGCTTCCCGGCCAATCAGGAAGCCGGGCAGCGTCTAATGACTCGCTTCCCGGCTTCCTGATTGGTCGTTACCTCATGGCGAGGGAGCAAGGAGCCGGCTTCCCAGCCAATCAGGAAGCCGGACGCCGTGTCATTACACAGCGCACGGCTTCCTGATTGGCCAGAAAGCCGTCTCCATGCTTTCTCGTCACATAGTGACGAGAAGCATGGGGACGGCTTCTCTGCTAATCGGGAAGCTGGGTGGCAAGTCTTGACACGCCGCCCGGCTTTCCGGCTAATCAGGAAGCCATGTGGCAAGTCATTACACGCCGCCTGGCTTCCTTAATGTGACTTCCGGTATCGGTATGCCGAATCGGCAAGTACCGTGAAAATAATATCGGTACTCGATACCTAAATACCGCTATCGGCGCATCGATAGTAATAATCCCACCCTGGTTGTAATGAATGTGTACACGCATCTACATACTGTAGTACCATTCATTCCACTCTTTTGTAAATTTAAGTGAAAAGTAGCCAGCCCTCTACCAGGTTTTATTACCCAGAATGTGAATGAGATTTGTGTGTACCAGCCATGCTGTTTCCTCTGATTTCCACTTTTTTCCCCCTAAAGCTTAATCTGAAAAACATGAACAACCTGTTACTTGGGATATTGGTGGAATTCTGTGATAATCCGAAAACTATTCCACATATTTTAACCTGGAGGGGAAAAGATAATGACACGGTCCCAAAACTCCTTGTCCGATTGTGGAAACAAGAAGAGGAGGAGCTGGGAGTAAGGAGAGACCATTTTGGACGTATAATTGGTAAGTACAGATGAATTAGGATTGATAAACTTGGAAGAACTTTCTGTTGCTCATAGCAACCCATCATATGCCAACTATTTAACTATGGATGGCTTGAAAATAATCAATCTGCTGTGGGAAATATTTTTCACTAGGCACCTGGATTTAAATTGGTTTAGTTGTATCTTCTGTAGGACTTTATGTGCTGGAAATTTCCGGACACAATTTTATGCCACAAATGTATTGCATATGTTGCCTAAAATGAATTTACCACACACAAAAATATTACAGTTGCTTAGGGAATTTTAACCTCGGCATAACCCCTAGTACTAACCTGTAAAGGTAACCCTTATCTTCAACCTGATCTGTCAGTCCCTCTTCGCCGAAATGCCTGTAAACTCGCGGCGCAAGGGTTTTCACACTTTTTTTGCGCATTTTGTTGAGGAAGAACAATCTACCAGCTGTAAACACCTCAAAGCACTTTTCAAACGCAGGTAAAATTTACACCTAAGCAACACCTATTCAGCACGTTTTACATGTATCTTTTTATAGCGTTTTTTACGTGTATGTTAAGTCGTGCGTTTTTTGAGCAGATTTTGGCACATTCAAGTCAATTAGCATAACGCGCGTAATACGCTGCGCAAATAATAGCAACACGCGTATTTCAAGCATTTTCTAATGAGTCTATGGGACAAAACGCACACAAATCAGTCCCAAAGTAGCTGATGTAGTATTTTGTGTGACAGGCGTATTTCTGCTTGCGATAAAACGGCATGTGCACTGGGGTCATAGACATAAATGGGATTCCTAGTGTTGAGCTGTTTTACGAGTGACAAACAGCTAAGGTGTGAAGGGGGACTAAATCTCATGAAATTTATATACCCACACTTGTGGCAAAAAAATGATCACGCCATATTATTAAAACTTTGGCGCCCGTTTACAATGTGCCAAATTATCGGGGTTGGAACAAGTGTGCAAAAATTAAATGATCCCTGGTCACTGATAGATATTCAATAAAAAAATGTAGTATTACTGCCATAGGTAAATATTGACACCCCCCATTAAGATGTCCTTTATTCATTTTGGATTCAGACCCCTTCCACTAATATTTATGCCTACAGGTCATAGTTATAAGCATTCACTCTCTAATGCTGTCTAAGGGTCTTGTTAGTCCCTGTTGCCAGACCATCCATTACAACACTTTTCCCAGAAGATTATATGTGCATTTAACTTATTTCATGCTTTTTATTAGAGGTGCACCAAAATAGAAATGTAAAAACCGAAACAAAACCGAAATAGAAAAATTGTCAGGCCGAAACCGATACAGAAAATTTTTTTAGTTTAATTTTTTAAAATATTTTATTCTTATTTCTTTTTTTATAAACTTTTAAAAAATTGTATATTTATTTTTATTCATTTTTTATTAAATATTTTTAGTTTTTCCTTTACTTTTAGGGGCTTCGGAGAAATATTAGGGGTCTAAACAGACTCCTGATATTTCCCTTTTAAAATAGAAAAAGAGATTGAGAATGCAGAGTCCTCAGTCGCTTTTTCTGTATCCCCTGTTATCAATGAACAGGAATCCTCTATGATAACATGAGGACATGGTATGTTTACTATAACCACAATCATGAATGAACAGGAGTGGATATAGATCACTCCCAATCCTTCATAATTGAGGATATAGTAACCATACTCTGTCCTCAATTATGTACAAACACTCAGCAATCACTGACCACTGAGTGTATGTAGCCTGCTCTCCTCTCTGACACGCTGTCACAGGAGGCTGAGCAAGCGGTGCGAGAGGAGAGCCCAGCCTCCTGTGACAGCGCTGTCTCCGCACCCACATAACACTGTGCCGCACTGTGATAGGAGGCTGATCGGTGTGAGAGGAGAGACACCGGCCACTCACAGCGCTCTCCTCACGCAGCGCTCGGCCAGCTGTCACTTTCTCTCCTTCCCGCTGGGACACAGAGCAGCGCCCAGCGGGGAGGAAAGAAATCACGGATGTGCCGATGTATCGGCAGGAAAATGGCACTTTCGGCATTTAGCCAAAAGTGCCATTTTCGGTCGATATTTTTCGGCGGCCGCTATATCGGTACATCCCTACTGTTTATTTACCTGTAAAAGCCTCCTTTTTGTAGTCATCCAAAAGCCCCAACACTGCTGCCTGGTGCCGCCATCTTGGATGTGATGTCAGTAGTCCCAGCCGACTGAGAGTTGTCACTCAGTTGAGACTTTAAAGTTCTCCCCCAACAGCTACATTAAAGGTTATCTAGGAAGGTGAAGTGAGGGGTGGGGGGGCTGAATCAGCACAGACAATAATTAGACACTCCCGCAATAGGGCTATGACATACAAGGAGGGAGAAGCCTGTGCTAGGAGATTGACTCGGACTCTTCCTGGAGTGGTCACTTTTTTTCAACATGTCCACAAGCACATTGAAAGTGAATAAAAAATGTTTACGGGAAGAAAAAAACAATGCAGGTGAATAAAAAAGCAAGCTTTTAAATTACTTGACTTGTCTGTGCTTTGTTTTTTAAGTTGGCGACAGGGTCTCTTTAAGATGATTATGTCTGCTCCTGTAGATGTTCGGAAACAATGCACTGACACATTACTAGCCTGCCACATTACTGCTTGCCACAAAAGGATGCTGCCTGAGATTCAGAACAGTTCAGATTACTGCCTGAGATCTTCTAATGTCTTTGTTGTCAGATTCATACAGGTTATGATACGAATTATGAATTGATGATTTTTATGGATTATTCCTTATTTACAGATGCACAGAGACCCCTGGTTGGGCAGTTCCAAGAAGAGCAGGAAGTCCTACCAATGCCGGCCAACCGCTTTAGTGTTGCAATCATGGAAGTGGCTGAAAATATAAGAGCCAAAATCTATTCAGTCTTTTCCAGGCTAGGTAAGCCTTCATGTGATAGCAGATATTATACTACACTGCCTGTCCAAAGAAAGTCACCGACCTGGATTTATCTAAGCAAATAGTTCAGAGTCTTCCAGGTCTAGGTTCAGCAATGCCATGTGCCCAAAAAATGAGGTGAGCTGCCTACCTGAATATACTGAATGACCATTTTTCCATCAATTGATTTTTCTTCCCTGATGGCACATTGGGCATACTCCATGATGACCATGCCAGGATTCATCGGGCTCAGATTGTGAAAGAGCGGTTCAGGGAGCATGAGACATCATTGTCACACATGGATTGGCCACCACAGAGTCCAGACCTTAACCCCATTGAGAATCCTTGGGTTGTGCCCGAGAAGACTTTACACAGAGGTCCGACTCTCCCATCATCACTACAAGATCTTAGTGACAAATTAATACAACTCTGGATGGAAATAAATGTTGTGACATTGCATAAGCTTATCAAAATGATGTCATGGCGAATGTGTGAATATTTTTTGGACAGGCAGTGTATATAGTGCAGCGTTTCTCAAGGGGGAGTTCCGTAGAACCCTGAGGTTCCTCTAGAGAGGGCAAGGGAATTACTATAGCCTATAGTAGTGTATAGCAGAGTTTCTTAAATTATGGGACAGGACCCGAATTTGGATCTGAATGTGAAGGAAACAGAGCCCAGGTTGTCCAAGTCCGAATGGTATACCAGACTTTAGTTATCAAATCACATACTACCGCAATCTGAGACTACAAACAAGGAGGTTCATATATCACAGAAAGTTTCTTGGGGAGGAAAATGTAATACATTCCCCATCCCATAATGCCACCACCCCATCTCGGCTTTACTAAAGCTTACCTAAATGGTGAAGAGCGACCACAGTATACAACCATTGGTATTGTACTTGTTTGGATTTTCTGACATTTTGGTAATAATTCTATTACCAGTATAGTAACAATTTTATTACTTGGATCCTTCAGTTAAAACTCCTGGTGTGTGATTTTTTTTTCAATATCATAATTAGAATACAAGTATGTGAGGCGCCTTCTTTGTGAAGCACTTTTCTGTGTCTGATCACCAAAGCTGAAAAACAACTAATGCATACTTAAAAGAGAACTATGCTCAGCGCTGGAGGATTGGAGCGGGGAAGAGGGGGAATCCTTGCGGGGAGCTGTGAGTGACAGTCATGGCTCTCTGCAGGGAGATGATCAAGAAGTGAGCGAGCGACGGTATGTGTCCGCACTTCCCGATCTACTGAGCCGACGTGTGACAGTTTCATTGACACAGGTCGGCTGGAACTATGAGGATGAGTGAAAATCACTCACCTCATAGTTCTCCTTTTAAAGAGGTTTTCCATTTAAAGTGACAAGTGAACCCTACCTTGCAGTTGTCCCCATCAGGGTCCTAGAGAGTTTTAACAAGCCACAGTGATCTAAGTCTGCCGAGTCCATTCAGAACGGAGTCATCTACTTTAGATGGAACCCTTACATATTTAGAAGTTGTTTAGCAATGTATTTATTTTACACAATAATCCAATTTAAAAATCGTTTTCTTTTTTAGGCTTTGAAAACTTGCCTGGCTTATCTGCACTGGATTATGTCACTCTCAGTGTAATAAGCAGATATCTTGATTTTAAAGTAAGTGGCAGTATGTATATAATACCTTCCCTTATTCCCCCCCAGACACCCACACCCTAATCAAATAAAATGTTTCAAACAAATACTTGATTTTCAAAAATATACATTTTTTGAGGTATATTTATCAATCAAAATTGGTAAACTAAACATGAGATTGTATACCGGTATGAGTGCATCCCTAATCATTTTCCTCTTTTTTTTTTTATTTAGTTTTTTTAATAGTATGAAGTATCACTCAATACTCAATATTATCTATCAATATATCATTTAATATACATTTACCATCTATAGGAATGTATTTCTTCAGTGGCGTCACGCTGGGGGTGCGACCCGCACCTGGGTGACACCATTGGAGGGATGACACCAAAATGAATCATTTTGGTGTCACTCCCCTCTGAAAAGTCGGGCGCTCGGTCATGGACAGTATCAGGAGAGGAGGGGACCTGGCGGCATACCTTATCCCGCTGGGTGACTGTCCCCTCCTCTCTCTGCCGGCGTCCACCACCAAGATGGCCGCCGGCAGGTATCAGAATACTAAAATAGTAGAAAGGCATCATGGCACACTCACAAACCAGCATGTACAACAACTTGTCTCAATCATAGCCGAACTGACAGCAGAAAACATCCAGCCGGTAACCTCCGATTATGAAGCTCTGGAGGTCATTGAAAAGTCTGCAGAAAACATCAGTAAACTTGTTGCTTCTCACCAGACAGAGATGATTGAAAATCACAAACAAATGGAGCTCCAGGAAGAACAGCAAAAATATGCAGATGTAAGGCCACAGTCTTGTCTATTGTATAATGTATTTCTATTCAGTGTGTATGTTGGGGGTATTAGTACATTTATTTACTGAAAGTAGTCTTTGATGTGACTCATTTTGTACACATTTTCTTTTCCTTTTATGTAACATACAGAGATTTGTAGATTACCCATTAGAGATTGATTACCTGCACTATATAGCCACATGTTTGAGCATCACACCTATATGATCTAGTTGGACATCCCATTCCAAAACCACGGGCATTAGTGTGGAGTTGGCCCCTTTTTTGAACCCATTACAGCCTCTGCTCTTCTGGGAAGGCTTTTCACAACATTTGTGTGTCTGTGTCTATTTAGGCAATTTGTAAGATCAGGTACTGAATGAGAAGACCTGGTTTGCAGTAGATGTTCCACTTGTCTGTGTCCTGTCCCAGACACACAACAGGTAGTAAATATCTCCAAAAAACAGGAACACCACCTCTAAAGCTGACCGCACACTATGCAAATTGCAGCCAGTTCTCCCACCAGTGTTCTATCAACGATTGTGACTGGGTTTGAATATGTGACCGGTGACGTGGTCACACATTTTAACGTAATGCCGCCGAGTTTTTCGGCGGTGGAATATGCGACCGGCAATAAGTGAAGAAGAATTCCAACGCTTTCTCAGCTGTTCCAGGGCAGATCGGCATCGCAGATGTGACTGCGATCTCACATTCCACAGAGTCAGATAGAAGTGACATTTCAGGACCGATCAGCTGTTCCAGGACAGATCGGCATCGCAGATGGTATGTGCAGGAGAACCGATCTGCCCTGGAACAGCTGATCGGTCCTGAAATGTCACTTCTATCTGACTCTGTGGAATGTGAGATCGCAGTCACATCTGCGATGCCGATCTGCCCTGGAACAGCTGAGAAAGCGTTGGAATTCTTCACCTTTTGCCGGTCACATATTCCACTGCTGAAAAACTCGGCGGGATTACTTTAAAATGTGTGATCTTGTGACCGGTCACACATTCCACTGCCGAAAAACTGGGCGGGATTACGTTAAAATGTGTGACCACGTCACCAGTCACACATTCTAACGCAGTCACAAACTTTGATAGAACACTGGCATCCTCCGATCAGCAGAAAATCTTCAGCCGAACAAAGTTTGCAGTCAATCAGCCGCACCCTCTGTTCAGGTATTCTGACAGGAGCTGCCGGAATACAATGAAAGCAGCGGTGGATTCCTCCATCAACGCACGTGAGTGTTGATGGAGGTATCTGTTATATTTACTTTATTCAGCCCGCAGGTTGAATAAAGAAAATATAAAGTGTATGGCCAGCTTTATACCGTTGTCAACAGAGGAGGGGATGTCCCCTCACGTTTCTGTTCCTGTTACAACTCTAAAATTGTGACTTTCCCATCACTTTCTGTACCCAAGGCAATGGACAGGACAGATAAAGAGGGCGAACCTCCTCAGTGAGACATCAGTAACACCATGCAGGGGGTTTAACACTTCCACATCATGTGCAAAACCTAAAGTCCATTCGACCCCCAGTGTACATCGGCTAAATACATTCCAGAGGCATCAACACAAAAGGTGTTCATTGTCCTGCAGCCCGTAGTCAGTCTGAAACAGCCACAGCCTAAGTAGTAAAGCCTGTCCCCTGTCAGCAGCTGCAGAGTGTGACCCTTGTCCTCTGTGAGCAATGATAAATAGATGAAAGGCCGCACCTCTCCTTCCTTATGTCCCAGATGAAAATTGCAAATTACATCACAGGCCTCAAATACAGACAAAAGGATATTTAAGGTTCATGGCCAGTCCCGTGCTGTGCATTTTCCATCATGCAATGCCCAGGCCTCTCCCAGTGAACGACTAGTTGATATAAATTTTGTCCCAAGAAGAACTGAAGAGCGAGTCATTCATCTCCACTAATCACATCTTTTTGGGATTTCTTATTGCAGATTAAAGCGAGCCACAAACAGAGCGAAATAGTCATGAAAACATGGGATAAATTCCTGGCCAGGACATCCAATTATGAGGTCCTAAAGGTGATGTATTTCATTGTGTTCCTGCATCTGTCACAGAACCAGGATTGGATAATAAGAATAATAGGAATAATAAAGTAGAATGTGGGGTTTTAGTATGTGGTAGCAGGAGCCGAAATTACATGAACATCTGAACCCCTCTGCTCTGAATGTACAACCCATGCGGATTTTCATTTAGCAGCTAGTACTGGGCTTTCGTTTTAGAAAGCCTAGATACGGTTTGAAATATGTATGTGTAAAAAAAACATGTGATACAAATAATGGTGCAAAACATCAAATACATCAAACTTAAAGGTAAAAGTGCCAATTGCGAATAGAGTGAAGAAGGGGTAGACTGTCTGTCAAGTTTTTTTGTTGTCTGTGTCACTGATGAGATTCACCCTTCTGTTTGTTCTGGGTAACATTGTCCCCATTACCACTGTCATTTGTACTGGTTACCATTGTCATTTGTACTGGTTACCATTGTCACCATTACCATTGTCATTTGTACTGATTCCCATTGTTGCCATTACCATTGACATTTGTAATAGTTACCATTGTCACCATTGCCATTGTCATTTGTACTGGTTACCACTGTCACCATTGCCATTGTCATTTGTACTGGTTACCACTGTCACCATTGCCATTTGTACTGGTTACCATTGTCACCATTACCATTGTCATTTGTACTGGTTGCCATTTTTTCTCAACTCTGTAGAAAGTTTCTTCCAATGGGGATAAATGTTCCTCTTTGAGTGATTTCCTCTCATTTCTTAGCATCTCCAGGATAGAAAGTGAAGGAAAATCTTCAGAAAACAGTACACAGACAAAAGCAAAAAAAAAAAACCCCAATAGGGATTTTAAGCCTTTCCTACTCTTGCCAAAACAAATAAGTTACCTGTGCTTCCACGTTGAAGTACTGTGGCTGAAACATGTGAAATACTTCTATCACTTCTTTAGAGTTTTATCAGCACCAATATGTTTTTATTTTTGCTTTAGAAAGCAAAACGGCATCAGGAAAAATCCATTGAATCTTCGAGACCGAAAGCAAGACCAGACAATTCAACCTTCCACTCTACACAAGTCTCAAAGCTCAATACTACGGTATGTGATAAAGAGCCGCCTAAAAACCATTGTCCAGTTCTGACATTCATGACTGCCCGTGTTATCACAGCGTGGTTTTGGATTTGGATAATGACCATGGCGGGAGTCAGACTTTACCAGGCCGCGCTGCTAACCTGCCCACCACGCTGTCTTAATAATCACTTTGTTATAACATTTATTGCTAAAGTGTCACCCTATTCCCCAGTCAGGAACAATGCAGAATGTGCTACATGGTGAGGATGAACTTGGACTTCAGTGCAGTGGAAAATGATATAGAGAAATATTTGCCGCATCTTTTTCCTTTGGGTCATACACTGTTGGTCATCGTAGTTGTAAAGCACATTCACTTCATGTATGTTCACTGGAATAGGTCACATTTGAATTTACCATTTGTCAATAAGAATCCAAGGTCTCAGTAACATTCACTGGGGGGAATTTATCAAAACTAGAGCAGACAGAATCTGGAGCAGTTGCCCATCAGGAAACCAATCAGCATCTCTCTTCAGTTTGCTCAGGTAAGATTTGAAAATAAGATAGAGAAGCTGCTTGCAGTGCAAACCTGCTCCAGATTTTGTCTGCTCCAATTTTGATGAATTCCCCCTCACTATATTTAAAATGTGGCTACAGCCACCAGCCTTGTTAAGTGTGATCCTACCCAGAATCGGACATGTCATGAATGAACTGAGAGCAGCTCACCTGGAGAAATCATTGTAGATCATGTCCCATGCAATGGTCTGACAGGGTGTTGTTCATAACTTCCTAAAAACATCACAGCACCCTGTCTCAGTACTCCCCCCTAAGAGCCGTCAGCATTGATGGAAGGAGTAGGTTGGCTCGTAGAAGGAGTTATGTAAATATTAAAAAGCTTTCATGGGTGGTTGTCAGTCTGGAGGAGTGGGCATTCCTAGACAGGCTACATTTGCATGCAGGCTGCCCTAGGTAATGGCCACATGGGATGCTGAACCTCCATGAATCCAATGAATGAAAGGGACGGCCAGGAATAATAGGGCAGGAAACTTGAATTGCAAGTGTGTTGCGCTCGGTCTAAGTGAGCAAATCAACCTTCTAGGTGTATAAATCAATCATGAATTTAATCTGTGTGCCAATCAACCAATACTTGGGTATGTGTATAGTTTGTGTGGTGAAAGTACAAGTGTTCAATCAATCGAAACAAAATTATATTCGACGTGATGGACCATAAAATATTTAGACCTGCTCGGTCCGTGAAATAATCCAAACGTTGACTTAATCCATAAATACTTAATGAATCAACATCAAAAATTATTGGCAATAACTGTGAAAAGTTGAATTAACTTATTATGGGCGTGTTTCAGCCGTGATATTATTTTTCACGGTAAAAAATAATATCACGGCTGAAACACGCCCATAATAAGGTAATTCAACTTTTCACAATTATTGCCAATAATTTTTGATGTTGATTCATTAAGATACACATACACATAGAAGGTTGATTTGCTCACTTAGACCGAGCGCAACACACTTGCAATTCAATATTTATCCAATACACAGTGTTGCGGCTGGTCTATTTAGATAGTTAGACACAAAATCCAGGCGCAGTGTTTCCTGTTTTATAGGGCAGGAAACTTGCTGGGAGAGTGTTCATTTCAGTGGGTGGTCGTGAATGGGGTTAAGTAATGATATCTATATACAGTGCAGCCAGATTACCAGGCAAATTAGGTTTTTCTAGACCAGGGGTAGGCAACCTCGGCTCTCCAGCTGTGCTGAAACTACAAATCCCATAAGGCATTGCAAGCCACAGGCATGACTCCCAGAGGCAGAGGCATGATGGGATTTGTAGTTTCAGCACACCTGGAGAGCCAAGGTTGCATACCCCTGTTCTAGACCTACTCTGCTGCTAATCGGTCCATGTATGAGATGGTAGATGTAGTCATACATTATACTGCATTATGCAGTGATCCAATATCGTATTTATTGTTCCTCTCGCTGATCAGTCTGATGCGGCCAACCCTGTACATGGCCTGAAGGTTGAGCCAACCAAAGTCTGACCTGTGTTGAGTTAATTTGCTTTCACTCCAATATGTGTTGTCCCAATTGTTGCATATTGTTTTGCAGGTTGCTTTTGGCCGTCACGTGACTGTAGAAAGCACACCGTCTAAGCTCACCGGTGGTCCCTTGGCTGATACAGACCTCGCCCTCCTGCGCGCCCCAATCCGGGGAGGAGCTCTGCAGAAGACCAGATCTGTCAAACTGCTGAACTAAACCAACTAGTCGTTGCTTCCAGGGTAGTCTCTGTGTAGAACTATCTTCATGTATATTCTTCATCCAAGAACATTTCCACATGAAATAGAAGTTCTCACAATACATGAATATACGCAGTGTCATTTTATCTCTTAGTTGTAGACAGTGACAAGAATCTACAAAACTGTCTGATCATCTTTCCTTGTAATTTATTGCATCTGAAACCAACTTTACTGAGTGACATCCTAGCAGTGTATATAGTAGGGCTGCAGCTAACGATTATTTTCAAAATCGATTAGTTAGCCGATTATTAAGTTTGATTAATTGGTTAATCGGATTTAAAAAAATGGCTCCAGTGATGGGACTACTAGTTTGTATTGAGATTGTAGTCCATCACGGGAGCAAGCTTGGAGCGGTGGAAGTGAAAAAAGTGTGGTGTGCAATATAGTACATTATACAGCGGTGCAATGCAGAATACCACCAGCTATAGAGAAATACAACAAATCGCAGCAATAGTACATTATACTATAATGTACTATTGCTGGGATTTGTAGTCCTCTATAGCTGCTGGTATTATGCATTGCGCTGTATAATGATTATACGGCACAGTGCAGAATACCACCAGCTATAGAGGACTACAAATCCCAGCAATAGTACATTATACATACAGTGTATAATGTATTGCCTGGATTTGTATTCCTCTATAGCTGATGGTATAATATACAGCACAATGTACCATCAGTTGTAGAGGAACACAAATCCAGGCAATAGTACATTATAGGCAGTCTCCCTGAGATTATGGCCCTGTCTGTTGGCAGCTTCCCCCCATGTCTGCTCTTCCTTCTTCATTGTGCCGATCCTGGATGGGCGGGCAGCGACGAGTCCATATGGCGGGGAGGAGAAGTGGCGTGAGGCGGGGAGGAGACGTGTCGTGCGGCGGAGAGAAGTAGCGTGCAGGGAGGCGCAAGCAGGCCAACTAATCGAAAGTCAACTGATCGATGATGGAAAACGTTGACAACGTTTTCCATCATCAATTATAATCGACTTAGTCGATTAGTTGTTGCAGCTCTAGTATATAGGCGCTATGGAAGTCCTTAAAGTGGAACTACTTTTTAGAAAGAGTGGAGAAAGGTTGAGAGGTTTCATTGAGAGATTTTTTGCATTTGTCACCAGTAAATACAGTATATTTGTGAAGGTTTTCATTTATCCAGGTCATGGTATAGCTAGCAGTAGTTAGTTACTGCTGGTGGCTAACTACTACTAGCTGGACTAGACTGGGCTGGTCCATTCACTTCTTGTTCCAGAGACATGCCAGGAAAAGAGGGCAAATCTCACTGGAGCAAGAATTCCCACCATTGGCAGCTGTCATTGGAACAGGAAACCCCCCTGTTCCAGTGACAACTGTCAATGGTGGGAATTCTTCTTGCTCTGGGGAGATTTGCCCTCTTTTCCTGTCATGTCTTTGGAACAAGAAGTGAAGGGATATCTCCCTATGGAGAAACAGACAGTTCTGACAGAGGTTGTGATATTTTCCACCTCTGTCAAAAAAAAAAGGTTTTGGTTAGGCCTACTCTAAAATTAAATTTTAATAAAATGCAATTAGCTGAACGTTCTGTAAAAAGCTGAAGAAAAACAATGAAAGGGAACATCAACTATATTTATACGATTAATGGAGATATTTTTTTCCTGCATTATTGGGTTTCCTTATTGTGTGTAGTTTTAACGGATTCCCTCTTGAAACTTTTAAAATTCACACTTTAAAAGTCACACTGCCTACAGTTTACAGGTATACAGTATACTTATACTAATAAGTATTGTAAATGACGCCACTACCGCCGTTATACTTCCCTATATGTTTGAGGGCAACCAGCTTAAAAGAGAACCATGGAGTAAGTGTTTTTCCTCATAATTCTCTTTAGGGTCACGGGAGGACATATATTAACTTCATCCGGTGATCCAAAGCTTAGTATATTGCCCGCAAAATACTGACAGTGCCGCAGCCGGGACAGATCCCGACAATACTATCAAGATCCACCCAGCTGAATGAGTGACAGCTGGCTCTGCCTATCTAGAGGCAGAGCCAACTGTGCCGGCCCCCTCCACCGTCTGTTCCTCCAATCATCTCTGGAGGATCGTGGGGGGAAACCCTGCTGTGAGCGGTGACTTAAGGTCACCGCTCGCTTCAGGGAGACGATCGGGAAGTGAGCGGATCGGCGGCATGTTTCTGCTCACTTCCCGATCGATAGAGCCGACCTGTGATAGCTTCTTTGTCACAGGTCGGCTCTAACTATGAGGATGAGTAGAAATCACCTCATAGTTCTCCTTTAAGTAGAACTGTATCTTTTCTGCCTTTAGCAGCAGAAAAACCTCACTTATCATGATATTGTCTCCCGCATACCAGCAATAAATCAACATTGTATATCAAATGGCTGGTTCACAGGTCTGGGAGGTCCTAGCTGAGCGCACAGTTGGTTTTAAATGAGATCAGATGATTTTTTTAAATATATATTCTAACTGTCCCCTTACAATATCCATAGGATCCACAAAATGGCTTGGCTCCATTCAGCCTTTTCATTTACCTACAAACCATGGCAGCTTATACTAATATAATACATGGGTGGAGTGGACAGTTGTGTGGCAAAGAGTTGCTTTGTTCAGTAAAGACTTCACAGTCCTAGGTAAGTCAATGTGACCTGAGACAATGTATCAGTAGAAGGAAGAGCCCATGTGGGGAACCTGCACAGTGTTTTAACTTAGAAGCTTTGTAAATCCCAGCATGCTCTGCAGGTTTAACATTATATTTGGAGGAGCCACAATAGCAGAATATGATGTGCACCCTTTCCTTTGTCAACTATAACACTGCACATTCATTCAAGAGTGTGGCATGAAAGACATGGAATTCCAGGCAATATTCCACAGATTTAGCAGTATAGTATTTCCTTTATCTAGTATGGATCTCCGATTGTCTTCTGCACATTACAAATATATATATTTACACCCTCTGATTTCACAGATTCATATTTAATATTCATTTTAGTTATCTCCTCCAGATATTCAATAAAATAAGTCATTGCACTGACCCCTTGGTCCATACGTCTACCTGAAGCTGATCATGTGAATAAAGTTATCCTACACAAGTACCGCTCAGGCCAAGACTAAAAGTGTGCGGAATGGTGTGTGGAAGATTTAGGCCTTCTATAAATGTTTTATTGCGGTCTGTTTCTCCACTATGGAGATTCGCCCAGCATTTGACCACTGGGGACCATTGTCACCACTATAGAAAGTAATGGGAAAATCCATAAATTCAAAGTTGTCACCGGAGCAAGAGGTGAGGCTTAGAGGCAAAGCTTTTTTTACATTTAAATCGAGTGGTGAGGGAGAAGACCATGAACGGAATGATCAGCAGTGTGTGATTGCTCAGTTCTCAAGCTATAGAGCCAGCTGGTGACAGCTGCAGTGTCACACATCGGCTCTAACTATGGGGATGAGTGTATTTCACTCTCCCCCTTAATTCTCCTTTAATTATTCAATGGGAACAAATGTTCTGGTAACAACTGTCTAAGGATTTATAACCCTCCCTTACTCTATCCACAACTAAAAACAAACAATTGGGGGGTCCAGTTCTACTTTTAACTACAAGAGAAAGACCTGAAAATGCTAGTCGTCTGGCCAGTATGCTGATCCACTAGCATCTTCAGAAAATGGGTGAGAATGGCAGCAAGGGTGTTTAATGTCGGGCTCTCTTTAAAAAAAAAAAAAGAATAATGTACTAAGCACACAATGTCTGCAGTTCTTCAATACCAAAAATATGTATCATCTTTATTTCATTCAGATATATAAATAAATGACATCATGATAAAATACTGCATGCGTTTAATGTGCCATTAGCCGTCTCAGACCTATACCCAGAGCCGCCTTCATAGAATTTCATGACGCGTTTGGTTAGATGTAAGTGGGCAATCGGCGATCTTACCTGAGAATAATCTGACAGACATTAGAAAGAAGGCAACCTTGGTTTTAGAAATACATATTCGGAGATCGCCATGAAAGAGTCTTCCCAGGCGCACAATAGTGTCAACTCACTAAAGCATAATGTGTGCAGTATTTTCATCACTGAGCGTTATTCATTCAGTTTTAAAGGGTAAGGTCACTTCAATTAAAGTTCACTATCCCCCAAGCCCTCCTGACCTATTCTATTATACCCTATCTCAGCTGTCTACATACCTCAGATAGACTGCTCCGGCCTGTCCTGATCAGCAGCTTTGTTCACATCTTCTGGCCTCACTGTTGGCCATTCTGGCTCAGAGAGGAGAAGATGGCCCCATGCAAATCTGAGAGCTCACCATACAGGCAAAGCCAAGGTTGAAGAGGACTGCAGTTAAAGGTTGTAAATAGGGACATAGCTCAGAGAAGACCATGGCTGTCCTCCTCAGGTAAGCAAGTACAATTTGGGGCTGGGGGTTCATACTATAGAGTAGGTCATTAGGGCTTTTTTGTTTCAATTCTTTATTGCATGGATCAGCTGAATATACCCACACACAAATTTTTTTATTGATTTCTATAGTATATTAAATGTAAAAGTCAAACTATTACATAGGTCATCACTTCTTTAACATAGGTTGAACTGGATGAACCTTGGTCTTTATTCAACCTCGCATACTATGTTACTATGTTAAAAAACCATTAGGTTCAGGCCTTGTGTTTTAGAGGTGCTCCCATTTATTTCTAAAGGGCCCCTAACATATATGTATGCATCAAACAACCCACCTGACCCTTTAATGCTCCACAAGGCATGCATATGTAGAAAAAAAGAAAAGGTCAGGTATGTTTTTTGGGTGCATGGATGATCGTTGAAGACTGATAAGAAATAAATGGGCACTGTTACCACAAGGTACATCAACGCGTATAATAACACGGGCGTAGGTGTAAAGAGCCGTTTCATGAAAATAGAACTGCACACCTGAGCGAAATGTATGTGAATTAACTATATTGTACGTAGATTCAGAGCTTCAGATATACAA